GGGTCAGGAGAGGTCTGCCACACCATGTGGTCACCTCCTGGGCAGGTGGGAATCGAACTCATGCGGAAGCGGCTTTTAGATTCTCAGTGCAGTGCTTTAACCCGCTGCGCCACCAGGGAGGGCCATCATTTTCTATTTTGAATGAAAAATTGTGATTATCCTTTTCTATTTTGAATGAAAAGTTAGAATAGTTGAAAGATTGAAAATATATATATATGTTCACATATACATTTACATGCACACAGATCTATATGTAAATACAAACTCACACATAGATTTGCCCTTGCATTATTTTCTCAATGAGACAAGCTTAGACCAAGGCCAGCTCATCTCATTCTAACTGTACTACAACATTACATAGTGGGGAATGCTGTGAGTTAAGGGAATTTTATCTCATCTCTTCCAAGAATAGTTTGGGTCTCTTTTGCCTGAAGTGGGACAATGTTGGTTCTTCTCTTGAGGAAGCTAATTTATTCAAACACTCCCTTGGTGTCTTTGAGGTTCATTTCAAAAGTCCCCCAAACCTCCATTCATTCTTCTCTTTCTCCTGCTTACCCCTCAATGAGTTTCCCAGAGAGGAATAAGGCCGAGACCTCTGACTCAGTCCCAGTTTTGAGGCTACTTTTCTTCTTCACTTTTCAAAGGACTGTCACATTCTGGTCTTTGAGGGATCAGCCGTCTACAGTAGACCACATCCCTGGTGCGCTGCTCCTGCTACACTACATTTACAACCAGCTTCCTAGAGTGTTTTGGAAACTGGCGGCACGGAAATCTTTGTCAATTATGACCAGGACTGAGTGGCCTGCATCGTGTGTGCCCACATTATTATCTTACTTTTCAGGAAATTGTTATTGCTCCATAAATCTAGCCATAAAACCTGGGAGCTTGTGAAATACTTCACAAGCAAAGTAACTTTTAAAAGATGCTTAATCTTTTTTTTTTCATATTAGATTGTCATGGGTAATGTTTCAGTCTCAGTATTTGTTTCAGTCAATTAGCTCAAACTCCCTTAATACTTCCTCCATCCCTAAATTTGTCAGGAAGTTTCACGCATGATTTAAAAGGCTAATATTCTGAGATAGTTACTGACTTAACATATGATATATATGTATATATATTTAATCTATCGATGTATACACATACATATATTTATGTGTACATATATATATATACACACACACATATATATATTTATGTAGAGTGATATATATTACTTGAGGCTATTTACTTCTCTTTTTATCTTATATTTATTTTATATACCTATTACATGTATATATATATATTTTTTTATTTGTTTTTTAAAAATAAAAAGATAATTGTAACTCTTGTTGGGTGGGTCCCTAGTGTTGTAGGTCAAAATCTCACTGTCCTTCATGAAGAGGGAGGGTCATGGGTGGTGGCTTCCACACTGAGGTATTAAGATCTGAATCACCGGTTGGCTCAAACCCAGTGAAAGGTATGCGAGGATGTATGAAAGGTATGATGAGGGGATCAGCTACAATTACTCACCCAGAAGGTGGCCCTGTATCTATGTGGAGTGTTGTAACAGCAGTCCTGACTTAGAATTTCTCCTCTTAACCCTAAGGAAGCGACATTCAAAGTTTCTGGGGATCTCTGAGTGGGCTCAGGCTCACAGATGCCAGCTCTCATGGATGACTTGGGATGACTTGTTCACTTCATGGGGAAGACAGGCTATTTGCGATTAACTTTGTTCACTGCTTATCTCTCTTTCTCCAGCTTTCTATGGGATGACATTTCTGCTGCCAGTGCTGTGTTTCTCCATGTCTCTGATTTCACTTCCCAGTCTTCCATTTGGGCTGTCATACTTTGGCTCTAACACTAAGTATGCTCACTTTTTTTTTTTTTTCCTATGGGTCTTTACATTTCTATCTACTGAGGTTCAAATCCTCTCCAGCCTGAAAATTTCCACTTGCCTTGCCTTTTTTTCTTGAACCAATTCTCTCTCTTGCTTTTTTGCCTTTATCTAGGTGTGCTCCCTCTGAAATGGCAGCCTAAGGAGTGACTGGACACAAGAAGGTCCAGTGGAGACCAGCCCAAAATGCTGACCCTCAAATTGTGAGCACATAAGATGGTTATTTTTAAATCAGCAGATTTTGCTGTTGCTTCAGCAATAGACAACCGATACACTATTATTTGAGTGACATGCTCTAGTAGCTGAGGTAGACTTAGAATTTCTTTCTTTCTTTCTTTTTTCCTTTAAAGATTTATTTATTTATGCACACAGGAACTGGTGTATGGGCCAGAGTGCAATGGTGAGAGGATTCACCAGAGCCAGAGTGGGGAGCAGAACAGGCAGATATACTGAAACACACTGCTGAGGGGAGCAGTGAGTGGGTCAGTAGAGGTCTGCCATGCCACATGGATCAGTTCCCCAGCTGCAGATCGAACTCATGCTGCAGTGGCTGACGATCACTTCAAAGTGTTTCAGTTTAACCCATTGCTCTACCAGGGAGGGCCCAGATTTAGAATTTTTTTTAAATTATTATTTTACTTGTTTTTTTACATCACTCTTCATTTGTAAATTTTTTCATCTCAATTGTAATCCTTATGAGCTTCCCACCACCAATTCACCTGTGTGCCATCACCACAGTCCTGTGCACTCTTCCCACCCTAATTTTGATCCCATTCCCCTTCCCACCTCCATAAAATGTCTCTGGTTTATAGGTGTTTGTTGTTTTCATTTTTACTTTATTGTATTTGCTTCTCTCTCTTTTTCTTTTCTGCATGATCCCTTATGCTCTTGCTATGAGTGAAATTCCATCCAGTATTTTTCTTTTCTTTCTGGCTTATTTCAATTAGCATGACCCCTTCCACCTCCATCCATTTTGCTGCAGAAGGCAAGAGTTTATCGTTTTTGATTGCTGAGTAATATTCCATTGTGTATACATACAATGCAGAGGTTTCACTGTATCAATTTTGCTGTAACGACTCTTGTGAAAAGGAAGCAGATAATTTGTGAAGGGATGGGTTTGATCACTGGGAAGGCTTTCTATTCCATTGAAATTTACTGGAACTTTTGCCAACTTGTCTTGATTCTGCTTTCTTCTGTCTCAAATAATTCAATTTTCTGTCCTACTTTTCAGTATTTCAAGTAGTTAAATATATTTTACTTTTCCCATTTTTTTTCTACTTAACTTTGAAAAAGTCTTGGTTCATTTCAGTTTTTTCTCACATCATTTTTCCAAAACAGTTGTTAACCTGATTATTGTTGTTATGATCCCTTTGGCAAAGTGGCTTTCAATTTTTTTTTTTTGTATCAATGCTTTTGCATTGATCAGAATGGGCTAAATATGATTTTAAGATTACTGCCAGCCCTCCTTTCCTTCATTCCCACAAATCATAGAGAACAAGGACAATGGACACCTCGACTATGAAGCTGAAATTCCCAGAAGAAGTTTCAGAATACACTTGGAATTATATGGGTTGGAGGGGACTTTTCCAAAGAGAACATTTTCAAGATGAAAAAGAAAGATATTTCCTACTCCTCAGATAATATTTGTTGGACATTTCTGTTTCCATTATACAATAGGCTCTTGTTTCAGATGTGAAAATTTTGAAAAATCTGATGAATCATAGTAATTTTATTTTAGAACCTTAATAATCAATCTAGTAGTGTAAATAAATATTTGCATGTCAGTTTCGTTACAGAAAGAGGCTTAGCTGTCCATCTCACATCATAGAGTGAGTCAGAGGGTGAGCCCGAGTTCAAGCTGCCTAACCCCACTTTCCTTTCTCACATCACATTCTCTCCTGCTCCCAAATGAGCCATTTGAGAGTTGCTGGGTCATGAAGTAGTATATCATTTCTCTTCTTTAAAATAACTACAATGTATAGCTGCCAAAAGCCGAACACAGCTGTATGCTATTGCTAAGGCAACAGTAGACCCAAAATCTTCAATTCTAGTTTTTTGAAAATCAATAGGACATTTAAAGATTCTAGAATTTTTTCCTTCCTGTCTTCTCCTATAGGAGACCCCACAAGCTTGTAGAAGTTCACACTAATCTTACAACCATCCTAGAAAACAGAAAGTGAAAAAGTAACCCTCATAAACAAATTTATGTCAAAGAAAAACAAGTAGTTATGAGGCCTTTTTATTGGCTTACTTTTTCTGACTCCCGCCAACACTTCAGGATGAATATGTGAGCATAGATGTCCTCCACACAGATCCAGCTGGAGAGGCTCAAAGTCGTGTCTGTCCACACCCAGTCCATCACGGCCCTTAGCTCAGTCAAAAAGGGGACAAGGCGGAACCTGGCAGGAACCATGTTGTTAGTGAGATAGTTGTGGGATGACCTCCAATCCCATCCAACCATGGGAGCGCATGGAGTTCCTTATTGTTTTAGTCCTAATGAATTATGGAAAATTCTCAAGTTGAACCTTAGGGTAAATTTCAACTTTGAATTCAACCATTTTTCATTGTAAGTACAATGTATAGATCAATATTTCCCTTCTCCCCTCATATTTTTTTGGTGGGGGACAGCTGATGGTCTTAATCAACTGGCATTCTGTTTTTGAATGTCCCCTATGTCTTTCATTAAGGTCTTGTAGTTTTGTTTGTACAATGCTTTCACTTTGGTACAATTTATTCCTCAATATTTTATTGTCTTTATGTGGTGGTAAATGTGATAGTTTTTTTTTTTCACTTCTTTTTTAGATATATTGTTGTTATCATATGGAAACACAAGTGACTTTTATATGTTGAATTTGTATCCTATAGAATCACTGAAGTTGGTGATTAGTTCTATCAATATTTTTGGCAAGGCTTTAGATTTTTTATATAAGATTATATTATCTGCAAATAACAAGTAACATTTATTTATTTGTTTATGTTATGAGAATCTGTAGGTTATGAAATGATCAATTTTTGGGAATTTTGCTGTTGAATGAAGAAGGGAAGATTATATAACCAGTCAGTGAAAGATTAGAAAAGTCAGAAGAGCAGAAGTCATTAGGAGCTAGGGATAAGAGAGTTCATACCTGTGGACTTAATAGAACTCTGGCTAGTCTCTAGTGTTTCAGTGGGGAGTAGGGCCTGGGATCCTCTGGGGCTTGGGGACTATTCCTTGTCCTTTGATACAAAGCTTCTCCCAGGCTGGCAGATCCAGTTTCATCCAGGACCTCCTGGGAATTTAATTCTGACATTTTTTTCAAACCTCTCCAGGAAAGTACTAATCTAACCCTTGAATGAAATATCTAGTTATACAGGAGGCATCATTAGTTGAAACACTATAGTGGTTCACAGCATCTGAGCTGCATCCAAGGCCTCTTCTGTGAAGAAGTCACTGGTCCTAGGTCTGGTACAACCAAGGAGCCAATGAGACTGAAGGTAGCCTGACCTTTTATGTTATATAATTTAAAGGGGACAGAGAGGAGATGCTACAACTCTAATTCTCACTTGGGAAATGCATTATGCTTCATTCAAGTAGTTTACTAACAGAAACAATTGAGTCATGTGGCATTCAGATTGGTGTTAAGTGGAATAAATGGTCTTCTTCAATGAATGAACTTACTGTACACACAAATCACAAAGTTATTTTGAGGTAGTCCAGATTCCAGATATTCTACTTAGTGTGCCCAGAAATATACTAATACCTACGGATCACATATCCTTATTTTTCACCCTGAAATATCACAAAGTTTGGAAATAGAAAATATCACAGGGTTGATGCAGAATATGGAAGTAGAAAATTAATTCACATGTATGATCTTAGAACAACAGCTTGGTTAGGTGTGTGATAACTACATATAAAAAGATATTAAAATATCTTTTATTTTCTAAACATTGTAAGATTTCCATGATGATCTACACTGCTTTATGATTGCAGTCTTCCTTTACCTCTTCCTTCCCAGGTGAGAAACAATGTGTTTCAATTACCAGGCTCTCCATTATGTGATTGTGAAAAGAGTGTCCTTACCCTTGAAACAAAAAGAGGTTGACATAATTGTAACTCTTTGTGAGAAAATTTCCAAGGACTCGTGTTGGGTAGCCACAACGAATTTGGTAGGCAGACAACCCGAAGTAAAGACATTTCACAAAGTACCACAGCTGAGCAACCAGATTCTGGCTGAATTTCCTAAGATGTAAAAATACAGAAAAGTGTGAGGGAATAGAATATTCTTCTGGTACAAAGGATACAAATTTAAGATTTTTAAAAAGCCCAATTTACATGCCTGGAAACTAAATTCAAATCAGCCATTTCAGGGATTTCTCTAATCATAGTGGATCACTTCAAAGGCAAAGGTGAGATAAGAATATAGAATTATTTTTTAAAAACAAGTACTCATAAATGGTGACTGCGATGTATTAGTACATGATTTAGATTTTTTAGGTGATAATTAATTATTATCAAAGTGGAAGGAATGTGGATTGATTGGATCAAAAATGTTGACTGATGAAGGATAGAGTTAGATTTTTATTGTCTAATTTCATGCAATGTATATTGAATATAATTTTGTTACTGGAAGAGACATATGGCTATTCTTTAGTTGACAAGATCTCACAGCTGGCCAGGAATGCATGGGCTTATGTGAGTTGGGGGGGGTCTATGAACCCTATGTAGACATCAACCGCGAGAGGTCTAAAAAATGAATCTCTCCTTTTGAAATTCAGCTTTTGTATTTTCGTCTCAATGAATTAATTTATTTATATTTGATAAATACATAATATTTGATAAGTTATCCATAGAAAGTATCCAATACTTTACAGAAAGCTCACATCAACTACCTGTTTCTAGGAATGGTCTATATTTATAGAACATCTTTTATCTCTCCAAGGAAGTTTCCTTGAATTTTACAGATAATTGATATGAAAAGTGCATGGCAAATAATGCTCTTCTGTATCTATCTAAATTATAGTCAAAGACATAAAAATGTAATGACTTCTATCCCTTATAAATATATCAGATCATATTTTACCCATTAAAAAAAATTTCCTGCCTCAAGTTTCAAGTGTGTCAACTTGGACTAAGTAGTGGTTCATGTATAGTTCCTGAAGTAATCATGCTGATCTAATTAGGGTCGTATGTTATCCTATACTGGAAGACTTCATTTGTTGTCTCTAAGTTTTATTGAGAGAGGCTGGGATCATTATGCTTCCATGGCACCTACTGTTAATAGTTTGTAATGTCTAGGCAAACACTGGATGTTTGTGGACTAACTAAATTGCATCTACAAAGAAAAAGCCATTTTCAGTAGTAATTATTTATGATTTTGGAGCTTATGATACTCATAATTATGACTTGTGGCCACATTTTTCATGTGCATAGTTTAAAATATTCCTTATCTATTTTTTCATTATTCTTTTCTTGTTTTGAAAAAAAAAAAGTGGATGATATAGCTATTAACATAACAAATGTTTTCTCGGACAGTACCAAGATGATGTCAGAGGGCCTACTTTCTTCACATCCAGGATAATAATCTGAAAGTAAGCCCAGACTGGCATTACAATCGAAGGGCCCTGTGACCAGGGATGACTAGAACACCTCTTGGACAGCAGAGACCAGAATGGACTGCACCAGAAGGGACACTGAGGAGATGCAAACTTCATTAAACAACAGGTAGAGGGAGAGAAATGCCTGGAGGTTGTGATGTAAGGTGGGAGGCTGCCATAAAACCACAGTGCTGGCTGGGAGGGAGAGCTGCATGCAGTGAAAGTAAACAGCCTTGACTGATGGGAGATACTGAAGAGCTGGGGTGTTCCTTTGGGTTGAATAATTCTGTGTTCTTTTCTGCAAACCTTCTACTTTTATAAACAAATAGGAGCCAATAATTCCCACTTATAGTCATCACCCTGTTTTCCTTTCATTGAGTGACCTATTTCTTTGTTCATGCATTAAGCACCAAGCAAACAGTACTTGGATGCAAGTACTGTTTAGGAGGCATGAGGTGGGGAATGCCTGGGAGAGTGAACATTTGGACTGAGCTTTGTTTATTTATGTATTTTTAACAAATATGTATGTATATTTTATAGCATTATTCATTTTTATACAATGTTTATTTCTGGACGGAGCTTTGGAGGCAGGAAAGCTGGAAAAGGGTGGAATAACTCCAAGGGACAGAAAGACATGACGCTTTCCCCTGGGGAGTAGAAGAGGGTCACAGGATTCAAGGTGGCAGGTGGAGGAGGACACCTTCCTCAGGGATCTTACCAGCCCTTTCCTATTGAACTGCAGGTGGCTCTTTTTTGTTGTTGCTGTTTCTTTATTGAGGTAACATTGTTTTACGACACATTATATTTAGGGGAATAGATTCACATCTCCCCAGACAGAAGTCGGCACCCTCCCCCTCCCACCATCCAAGCCTTTACTAGGCTACGTTTTAAAAATGCTTCATCACCAGCCTCCGCATCTAACTGTGACAAGAGGCTCTGCACTCTTGGCTGGCTGTGTGCTGAGACTGTCGCTTTCCCCAAACTGTTACATTTACCCTCACAAATACCCTGTGTGGCAGATGCTAAAATCATCTGTCCCTCTACATTTTCTTCTACTGTTGAACAGTTTCCATTTCTCCCTCTCCTCCTATGACATAATCTCCTGTCCTCTCATTCTCTCAATAGTGCACCTAAGCCCGTGTTCTGCCTTCTCTCTGTCTGCTAAGCTATGGAGATAGTCCCAACATAGTCATTAGGAATGTCACTTCTTATTCTGAAAATCCCATTTCTATGACTACACCCAGACGTAAAGCAAATGTTTTTTGAGGAATCAGTTCACACTTTGGATTCACACGAACTTATTAATGATTACAATGTCTAACTTTTCCTGCCTGCAGCGCTGCTCTGTCACCTCTCTGCCTGTAGCTGGCAATTCTGTGAGGCCAGTGCAAATGTGGTGATAACCGTATAAAGCAGATTTACATGACAGTGTGCCTGAGTCTCAGTTTCCACAAAGCTTACCTCTCAGTCACACCAGGCAAGATGAAGAACATCCAGAAGTGAATTCCAAACACTAGAATGACCTGGAAAATGACCTTCCCCAGTACAGTCTTCCTGAGGTACAGGGCTCTGTCCACCACCATAGTTCCAAACTGAATGAGAACCATCACCAAGAATGGCCCGGGGACTTGGTCCTCTGACAGCGAGGAAGTGATGTCTGCTGCAGCTGAGTGTTTCTGGGAAGGAGACAAAAGATTCAGGCCCAAATGGCATCTCACAGCACAGTAGTACTCTTGGTCATTCTTATAATATGGTGGCTTTGACCCCAACCTACCCCAAAAGCCCAAAATCCAAAGACGATGATGATGAAGTCAACAGTGTCAGCCAGGAACATGAGCACATACACGTCGGTCACAGCACTGTAGTCTGGGTGGATGAGGTCGTAAAAGAACTGCTTGATGGGCACATAGATTTGCATTGTCCTGCAAAACAGAACCCCTGTTGGCTCCATGAGGGGTAAGATGGAGGCAACCAGCTGCTGCAATTATTTTGTTCTTCTAAATCTGACTTTGTCACACTTTCTGACCATGCCACACCGTGTGCAAGTTATTGCCAAAGTAGGCATACTCTTCACCTGGAGTAACAAAACTCCTCTTTTTCTTGAGTGAGCCCAAACCCTCGCAACTAGGGTTTGCCACCTAAAGCATCCTTCTTAACACTTTGCCATCTGTTTCTTCCGTAAAACACAAGACTAGGTGTAAATTAAGTAGGGCATCTTGTAAATGAAGCAGGCAATCTTGACAGTGCTCAGACTAGGTGACCTGATCTGAGTGCCAAATAGCTCCTGTTCCTGCTCTTTTAGGCTCCTGTAACCCTCTTGGTTTCCATGGAGGGCTCTGGGTTTTGAGCTCACCTCACTGCCTTTTATTACCGCGTCCTCCTGGCTCTGGCTTACCTGTCCAGCCTCTGCCCTGTTTTCACTGTTCTCTGGGTTCTGCCTTTAATCCAAGGCCACATTCGGGGGTGGGAGGTCCCCTGGTCTCAGTGCCCACACTCAGGCCAGTCCTGCTTCAGTCTTTTCCTCCCAATGCTTCACCTGTCTGCCTATGTTCCCTGGCACTTGAAGGGAGGACTGTGAATTTCTCTGGAGACTGGCTATGTAATATCAAACAAACCACATCTCCCCCTATGCTTCAATGTCCCTGTATAGGATGGATATACCTCTAAAGTCTTTCCAACTTTGACATTAAATTCCTCACTGTCCTGTTAGACTGTACCATGATAATGTCTGGAAATACATACTATGCATCCCTGACATTGAGATGACTTAATTTATTCTGTTCAAATAGAAAAAAAAAACATGTTAATAAATGCAATGGGTAAAAATGAATTACACTTATTGAAAAGTGATGTTTATAGCAATACAATAAGGGGTCATTTTATTCTGCCATAAGCAGATGTTTGTTATTTTAGAAGTAAGTCACTTCTCTGTTCTTTATCTCTCTAAAATAGTTGATACCAGTTCCTTGACCTTAAAATAAAGCCCACAACCTGAGTGTGTTATGTATGTACTCACTTCTTTAAGGTAAACGCTTTGGCTTTAATGAAATGTTCATGAAACTTTTCCATGTAAAGTTGCCTTTTGGTTTTTTGCTTGATGCTCAAAATACTGCTTCCTTTTTGACTGCTGTTTCGGGTGCTTGTGCTGCCTAGCAATCAAAAGAAATGGAGATGAAAACAAGCTGTCCAACAAAAACCAGTATGCATTGTGAGTGGCATAACAATTGAAAGTAGAAATCCTGAACCCACACTGCACAGGGCTTGCTTGAAATTGTTTTAAAGGGTATAGACAGGTGCCTGCAGCAATAGCAACTGGGAATTTGGAATCTGCTTCCACTGTAACATGTACTTCTGGGGTTGTAAATCCAATGCTGGCTCTTTCTTGGTGGTTATGTAATCTTAGGAGAGAGGGATTAGGAGAACAGTTTTTATATTGCTAACTGGGGCCCTAGGTTGTAGAGTTTCCATATTGGGTCTAAGACAGCTATTTTTTTTTCATGTCCTAATATGCCTCTAAATTATAAGATGAATATAAGAGGATCTGCCAGTGTCTGCCCAAAAAGTGTAAAGAGTAAAATTGTAAAGCATAATTACTTATAGACTATACTTACTGTTTACTAAGGAACTAAAAACTGGCTTGAGAAACATAGTTTAGCTAAAGTTTTTATTGGTTAAATTGAAACATATTTTTGAAGGAAGTTATGTTTATTCTACTCTGGGGACACCAAGCAGAATCTCTGGGTGTGATTTAAACACTATCATGGATCCAGTAGGCATATGCCTGCCACTTTCCACAATGACCAAAGGTCCTTGTCCTAGGAGGGACCCAGATGTTTTGAGCCAGATATGAAGTCTTGGGTCCCACATAGAGTCAAACAGATTTGAACTTGGGTCTGTATGATTCCAGAAAAAGTACTTTCTATTCATATCACATTATCTTCTCGGTGATGACAGTTGACAGGTCGCGCAGGCGCAGACCCACTGGTACCAGAAGCACAACTTGAGGAGTTGTGCTGACCACATGACAGATACCTCTTTTGGACCTATTTGAAGAAAAGCTGGATCTGGGGGAGATCGGGGAGCTGCTGTCTGAGCGCTTCCTCCTCACAGCTGTGGGTTTCTCAGGGAAAGATACGTGCACCGACTCTGCTGATGCTGCCAGGTTGATGGACTTGAGAGAATCAGAGGAAGCTCTTCTGCTGTGACTGAGCGAGAGCTCATCATCTGACTCTTCTTTGTCTGTGCCGGTGTCGACAATGTCGTCTTCATCCCACAAACCGTGGCACTGAGGAGGGTGCGGAAGGACAGTTCACAATGTGGGTTTAGGAGAGGTAGCTAAAATGGGGAATTTAGCTGATAATGCTGATTTGTATAAATGAAATTTGTAAAAAGAATAGAACTTGTATTCTCACCAAAAAAACAAAACAAAACAAAACAAAACAAAACAAAAACAAAAAACAAACAAAAAAACAAGCCCAGCATTAAATAAAGAAATGTAAGGAAGGAACTAGGTGGGGGTAAGGGAACTCTTTCACTATATATGTGTATCAGATCACCGTGATGCACACTTTAAATACATTATTTTGGGGTAGAGTGGGTGGAACTGGTAGAGAGCTGGCTGGATGATGGTAGATAGTAACTACACCTTTGGAGGTGAATGTAGTTTGGTGCATACAGTTCTCAAAGTGTGAAACCATACTCATGACACATAGCACTGTAAACTGTATTTCTTCAACAAAATAAATAAAGTAAACTTGTATTTGTTAATTACACCTTAATAAATCTGGTTTAATATAATTCAGAAACCAAGAGAGGGAGAGGATCCCAAGGTGGTTATTATAATTCTATGATGGTATCAGCAGAGTGAAGGTGGGTGGGTGTAGATGATGAGAGTTTGAATAATTAAGAGGGAGACAGATGAAGTGTGGCAGATGGAGTAAAGGGGACATTATAGTCACTTGACTTGTTCCTTGAGTTAAAGAACTTTCCAGAACAAAACCATACATTGCACAAAAATGAAAGATGATGTAATAAATATACATATATTACAAAAAAGAACTTTTAAGAACACATGTCTCTGTGCATTTGAAGCATCACATTGGAGGAGCAGTGAGTTAATTCAATCACCCCAGATTCACCAATTTTCTATACGTGAATAATGATGCTGTCCCTTTGCAAGCCTGCACAGTGTGAAGTGAACTCTTGAATCAGACATGGATGATTCAGAGCTGCAAATAGTTTGTTCAAAGAATGTAGGCCCCCAAGTGATACATTCTGGAGAGCTTGGATTTTGTTGCAAGGAAACAGGGTGAAAGGGGCTGGTAAATACAGGAGAGAGACTTGCAGAAGAGAGGGCTGTAAAACCAGGGACCTGGCTGGAGCAACATACCTTGTGGAGCACAAGGTGACCTTACCATGACCTTGTTGTTGGGCCAAGCTTTCCAGGCTACAGACTGATTTCCCAAGAGCTCACTGACTATCACTGACATATTTCAGGGGCAAATTAGTCAGGAGCTAAATCCAACTTGGAGAATAAGAAATTTATCAAAAGGAAAAATCATCTCATTTTTTAGATTATTCTTACATATTTACTAATACATTATTTTTAAAACATGCAATGAATGGACTTTTAAAAACATTTTAGATCTTCATGATAGGATTTTTCAGTTTATAATGATTTCTTTTAAATCATTTTAAAAGTCTTTGGTTTTGGCAACATTGTAACATACTTATATTCTTTTACTACTTTCTTGGTAGCATATTTTTAAGTTTCTTAACACTCCAATTATTTACAAAATTACAGCTATTCATACTAAATAGGATAGTTTCAACTACTTTTGAAACTTCTACATAATTTTAAGTATTTGGTTTCATAGCAGCATTGTTTTTACTAGTTTTATTTTTCCAAAAGTCATAAATGTAGTCTGGTCTTCTAATGAAAAGTTTTAACATCTCAAAGTTATTTTTATATTTCTAGTTGAAATTTCAGCACCTCAAAATTTGCACGTACTTATCATGAAAGTGAAATTCTCAAAGAAGAAATAAAAATGAGGATATCAGTATCAAACACCACAATTTTGTTTATCATATGCTTTAAATATGCTTTATATATCAGGTCATTTAAATATTAAAAAGAAAAAGCAAAAAATCTAACATTTTATACAGTTTTGAAATGACATGCAAAAGGATAAAAAAAGTTTCAAGAGAATTCTGGTAACAAGATTTATAGCATCATACCTTAATTGTGAAATTCAAAACTTTAATTTCTAAACTAAAAAATTAAGGTCAATGCAGATACTAAAGATACATTTATAACATAAAGTAATAGGTTGGATAAATTCGGGTGATTAATCAGGGAAACTGGAAAATTTAGGCACATTCAATTTTGACTAACTGGTTTCTTTGAATACTATGCCTTTGCAAACATATCACACCTTAATGCCTTAGGTAAATCTCTCCTAAAATAAGAGTATTAAAGAGTTGGGCACTTTGCAAGGTGATGGAAAACAAAGTGACGATTTTAACCTTGGTATACACAGATGAAAGCCAGCTTGAAAGAGTTGGTGAGAAGTTGAACACACTGTTACATATGTAGTGTGCATGTATGTATATGTGTGTATAGACCAACCTTATTTTAAAAAAGAACAAATAAAGATACTATTTGATAAAAAAAATTTAAATTATGCTATAAAAGGATACAAGGTTAAAATAAAGAAGCAAAGTCAGGTGGTGACAACAGACACATCAATATATAAAATAAATGCAACAATTGATTACAATTTTTAGAGCAAAGTGGCATATTCATAAGCTTGACTTATAATTTTGTATTTGAGAAGAAAAAATCTACATAGCTGCTAGAGAGAATAAGAGCCACTGAACCTAAGACAGAGCATATTCTATAGATAGGTCTTCCCAAGCAGTGTAATGAATGACCATCTCAACAGTAAGCTTTAAGGAAGAATACTGGACCACTTAATCTGTGATTGCAATAAAAGCTAATGGTTTCATGATAAGCAACTGCACAAATAGTGGCATTCTATTAAAACAAGGTAGGGAGATACTGAGATGGAGATCAGAGGCAATATAATTCACTGCGAATTATAGTGTTCTTAAATTCTGGCTGAAACTAGAGGTTGAAATCATTGTATCAGGCATTAAGTTATGCACACTATGCAAGTGATTCCCACAAAATTGGGGTCATTATGTTGTGTTCAAGCCAGGGTGGAAATATGGGTAAAATTTCTTCCATATTTATTACAAGTGCCATTGCAGTGTTGGAGAAAAGATCACTACCTGAAGATAATTGCTTAAAATATATCACACAAGTCGTTACCACCTCCCCCATCATCAATTTTAGTGTTCAGGGCTACTCCAGAGGCTGCAATTGTCAATATGTCTGGTTAGCTGTTCAAGAGCAGTACCTTCAAGATTGATCGATGAAAGAAGAGTGCCAAGAGTTGAATGAGATCATAAAGAACATAACCTTCTTTCTTTTCCACTCCAATGATATTAGCTGGGTGGTAAGGTTTATCTTTGTACAACTCCACATTCTTATTCCAGGGAAAGAAGCCAAATTGGAAGAAATACTTGACAACAATTGCTACCTGCACATGAATGATAAAATTAAAAAAAAAAACAAAGTATTGCTCTTAAGAATAGTTATGTATGAAAAAACTGTTAGAAAATTAGGAAGAAAAGACCCATTCACACTTTTGATAATGGAAATGCACACAATTATATGGAATAATATTAACATTTTCACAGACCATTGGCCTTATAACAAGAGCATTACCTCACTCTCAGAGTGCCTTCAACTGTAGATGTATAAAAGCTAGTCAAGTTACCCATGACACTGATTGAATCATTTCCTCTATTTCTGAGTAGTTGACTAATTTATGCAGAGTTAGCTATTTATATAACTCCTCTGCTATTAAATATTATAATTCAGACTGAGTTGAATGGTTATAAATTCATATTTTTATATTTCCTTAATTTGAAATTTTCAGCATATCAGTGTTGATGTACACAATTTCACTTTCTGCCAATCTCTTCTCACCATTTTGTGGTTTCCTTGAATGCTCTCCTCAAAATGAAATGGAAGTCAATGAAACAGACTTGCCAGTTGGGCTGGTAACTAGTAGAAGGTAAGAATAGCAGAAAAGTTGTACATTGAGCTAGGACAAATGATAATACTCACCAGTTCTGTGTAAACACATCTCGAACATCTACCTGATCAAAGAGATAATTGCAATACAGGCATTGTATCAAGACCTAGAGTCTCCTTTTAGCTCATATCTTTTATTCTACTTACAATCACACTTCTGCTAAGGACAGTCCTATCTTTCTTATCTAATCAAGTGCCAAAGCAGAAACCTGGACCTTACCCTCCCTCCTCCCTTCCTCTCACTCCCACACTTTTAGTCAATTACTAAAATCTCATCTTGCATGCATCATAAACTTCATCACCACTGCCGCAGGGTAGGCCCTATTTCTTCTCACCTCTTACATAGGTAAAGTAATTTCTTGACTGGTTTCCATAATTTCATTTTCATTCTGTAGAAAACATGCTAAGATACAAACCCAATTGTATCTGATTTCTGTTCAAATCCTTGCAGAAACCCAAGCACACTCTGTAGATATGCCCTGTTCATTGTACCAAGTCTCCACCAGTCTGCCTCCAGCTATTGCTAATCAGCTGTCATTCTTCACATGCCAGGTTGATTTCTGCCATCATTTCTTCAATTGGTGGTCCTATTGCCTTTCCTCCTTTGGTGACCTTATGCCCATCCCTTAAAACACAGCCTTGAGTTCTCCTCTTCAGAGAAGCCACTGTAAAAGCATCTCTTCACCTTCCCAGGCTTCATGAACACAGATCTGCTACCACTTGTACATTTTCTAAAGCAGTTTGATTGTACCAGAGGTGGCTACACTTTAATCTGCAGCCCTTGTGAAACAGAAATAACAATTTCTTTAAATTATTGTTCTATTTTCATACCTCGTAGTCTTTAGCTTTGGCATATAGTACAAATTGTGGAGTGCACTAACTTCTCAGTTCTTCACTCCTCAGCATGACAGAGAAAATGGAGAGCCCCAATTTAATTCAAAATAGAAATATTTTAAGATAGCAACTGTATGTAAACAGATCATATTCTCTTTTCCACACTATTATTTCCCACTCTCTACTCCAAGCCAGGTAAAGAATTCCCTCACACACAGGTGTTAGAGAATAGTACCAATTCCCTACATATGAAGTCATTGTGTCACCACAAATAGTGAAAGTGAAATTGCGGAAAGAATAAATAATGTTATTTCAGCAAGATTGTGATGGACAAATGAATTAAAGTAATATATGTGTGATTTTTACATAGTTTATTAATATGAAAATATAACAGTCTATCAATATTTTAAACTGAGTTATTTTGAGATAATTTCATATATAACTAATTTTTATTATGGGATCACTAATATCAGATAATTCTAGATTCTAAGTGCATATCCAGTATGAGTACTGTCCTTTCAGAAGTAATTAGAATGCCATTTTTATTGAAAACTTTGAGTCAGGTAAAAAATAAATTCACCTTCACAAATAAAAGAATGAAACTCAAAGTCCAAAACCTACTGAACTTCCTTTTAACTTCCTTTTAAACCTATCTATAGGTTTAATAGAGCAGGATAGAAAAGCAGGTCACCTATTTGTGGGGCATAATTCTCTCTCATCCCTTCCTGTGTGATGAAAATGGATTGGCTATCCTCCCTTTTTGTCATTCAAATTGTTAACAAGATATTTAGATGACTTTTTCTTTTGATATATGGAAACTGGTTTTTAGGTATAAAAGGAAAATATGCATGTTGCATTAAACTCTAATCAAAGTGCTTACTGTGTTGTTTAGCTCAGTGCCCATTGACTGAACATCCATCAATACTGGGTATCATGCTTGCTGCTGCATTAGACTGTCAGTATCTCAGTTGTTACATCAGGGAACAGGCAGGGTTTAAAACCCTACCAAACACTCAGTAGTTGGGTAACTTCTGGGCCAATTACTCACTAACACTGTTTCCTGATCAGATCAACATGAATGATATTAGCACCTTGCTTCTCTGAGTAGTGAAAGTGAAAAGATATATATAAAACCACTAGCACTAGATTGCTGTTATTTTTAGTTTGTGTATCTAGGAATATCCATAGACCTGGTTGTTCTATGTGAAACATGTTTTAAAGTCAGGCAGACACATCTGGAATGACTGCCTGGTGTGATTTGCTAGAAGGTCCCACATGAGGCCTACCTCTGTGTAGATAATGGCCATCATCCAGAATCGTCTGCTGGGCCGAGGGACAGAAAGCATGGCCCAGAGGAAGATCAGAATGGGAAGCACAAGGGTGATCATGGAGGCAGAGACCATGTGGTTGAGGATAATCACAAAATAGCACACCATTTCTGAGCGGGCCACCAGAGTATTATACATGGCATAGAACAGCAACAAGAACCGGGGCTGGCCAACATAAAATTTTTCTGACTCTTCAAGCTCATCATCTTGGAACATCCTGTTAAAATAAACATGACACAGTTGTCTTAATTTCTCCAAATTGTGGATTTCCATTTTGTATGATCTTTCTTGTTCCACCCTCATAGACCTTCAGATTTCTTTGCGAACCAGCCATCACATATACAGAAAAATATGAACACAAAGTGTTTATTGACAGTTTTTTCTAGTTTAATCATTTAGTGATAGACATACCAGTGTTTTGTACTTGCAGTATAAAAAGTACAGAAAACTTTACTTTTGCATAGAAAAGTGGGGGGAGGCCAGGGGTAGAGTATAGGGGGTGAGAGGATTCACCAGAGACAGAATAGGGAGCAGAACAGCAGAACAGGCAGATTGAAATTTGCTAAGGGAAGCAGTAGGTAAGATAGGAGAGGACTGGTTTCTCTAGGTAAGTTACAGCATGCATGGAAGTTACTACACTACTGAACATACATGCACTGTAGCTGTTACTCCTAGAGAAGTAACTCTTACTTGTTCAGCAGTAGCTCACTGGCCGTCAGCTCATGAGTCAGGGGTGGTAGGATGCTGGACTCCAGTCTGTCTGAGCGGCTGTCATCAGGACTGACAGTCATGTGATTCTGGCCTATGCAGCCATCCGGAGAACCAAAAGATAGGCGCTCAAAGCTAACTGCTTTGCTGTAGGAAGGGGGCACCTCAACATCACCTTCCTCAGTGGAGTATTGCAGTAACTCAGTGTCTGGGGTGAGGGCGACCTCTTCTTCAGCCTCCTCAGCCTCTTCGGGCCCCAAGACCACCTCAGCCTCACCCCCTTCATCAGTGTCCTGTCCGGCTCCTGTCTCCTCGTCCTGCTCAGTCTCCACCTCCTCTATGGTTTCTGTGGTCCCCTGGCGTGAGTACAACAGGGTGCACTGCGTGGGCTCACTGTCAGGAAAAGGGGACAGGCACAAATCCTGTCTCATAATTCAGGTTACTCAGATTACTCCCAAATTCTCAAGACATCCCAGTACTTCCAAATACAAACTTCAAGGCATGTGTTAAATTAGATGCCCTCTTCTCTCCCCTCATGTTCTGTCTGCTTTGTTCCTTCAGGAGATTCATATCTGGCCTGTAGAGATGGCAAACAGCAGCTTCTCAAAGGCAAAGCTGACAGTGAAAACACAGAGTTGAAAGCCAGAGTGACTCCTGGTTCACAAATTGCTAGACCCACCTATGCAGAGAGAACTTTAAATAGCGTCAAGATTCACAGGCATAGGTTCCAGCATTGTTTTTTCAAATTAGAACATTATTTCCATAGCATACCTACCATTCCATATACTTTAAAGGATGGTGATATGGAAACAGGAAACCTTGCCACTTTGGGTTTGTACCCTACTGTCCCCTTGGGTGTGGATCTGCCTGACCTATAACGAGATGATGCGAGTAGTGACACGCTGGTTTGCTTAAACAAATGTATGCTTTATAAAGAATGGCCTACTTTTAAAATATTTGTTTCTTCTTCCTGGTTTTGAATTTGAAGCCTATTTTTTACTAGTGTTTATAACATTTGACTGAATTTTCACCATTTTACTAACCTGCAACTATATCACAGTGCTTCTTTACTTTACCTAGGGAAACACCTATAGGTGTGCTCACATGTTCTTTTGTCCCTCCAAAGACTTCCATCTTATTTTCTTTTACCTTTCCTCTTCCAGTATTCATTTCCAAGGCTTCTCTACCCAATTGCCATTCTTTTATTTATTTATTTTGGCATCCTGTTCTTTCTTTCCTTTTCTTAGTAATGTCCTTGCCAGGTCCATGCAGGAAAAATTGGAAATGTAAACAGTGTAGCCACACTAGTGAAATTCATGAAATGTCTTTTATTATGATCTCAGGTAAATCTAGTTCCTATAAAGGAGAGGGGTAAGTGTTATATAGTCTTGTGGAATTTGGTGGACATAGAACTACAATTTGTTTGACTCTGGGAAAGTATACTGTTATAGATAGCACATGTGATCATAAAGCATTCATAAATGTTGAGATTCTCAAATGGACAGATCATGGCCACTTTTCTTTTTGAAAAGATCAGGTATAGATGTGTCAATGAATGAATCAATGAATAAATGAGCCTTGGAATAGCATTCTGAAACTGAAGAATGAGATTTGCATGGACGCTTGATCCCCAGCAAGGGATTAGTATTCCCATGACTTTGGCTCTAAGTGTACCTATCACACAGAAGGTTCTTTGAATGCCAAGACAAAATAGAGTTTTGCAAAGACTTACCTCGTTAGACATAGCCTCCAAGGAAGACTGTGAAATCAGTCACCCCAGGGTATTTTCAGACTACTAGATCAAGCCCACACCAGTCTAACCTCAACTTGAAAAATAGCCAAACATAGTATGCTCTCCTTTTTTTTTTTTTTTGATTAGGTGTGACCCTGAAGGGTTGAAGCTAATGTCAGGATTCAACAAAATGTAATGGCATAGCATGTTGACTGCCAGATGACATTTCAAGGACTAGGCTATTCCCTTCAATGCCTGTATTGAGCAGCATATTACAGCTCTGTGTTAAGATATGTAGCTGCCAGCAAAAAAGAAATTAACACCTACTATATTTGCCACTATGAAGAGTCAAAATTGAGATGTGTTCTGGGTTGGCTAATTGGCGCCAAGATAGGCACAATGCAACTGATGTTTCTGTGACCCTGCTGACCTTTCCAAGACAATTCTAAAAAGAGCTTTGGGTTACATGTAGAATAATTACTTTCTAAATATTTATTGTTTTAAGGTAGGATTGAATGAGAAAACCTGAGTTTAAGTAATTTTTACAAAACAAACAAATTATTTTCTACAAAGATGAAATATTCTATATATAATAATATTCTTTAAAAATAATAACATCCTCTGAATTTTATATCTGTTTCACTGTAAAATGTGGATAGGTTTATTCTCTTTTAACTAAAAGACTACATAAGGCAGATTTTTGGATTTTTCCTCTAATGCATGAGTCTTTTGATTAAATCATGAGACAAGGTTTTCTGTCTTTCCTCACACATTTTCCCTTACATGAATTCTCAAGCAAGGATGAAACATGCTTATCTCTTTGCAAATGTAATGTGTAACATACTTACAAAAGGGAAGACAATATTTATCCTAGGGATTTTAAAGAAACTCCTAACAGACAAAAACTAAAGAGCAGTTAGTTTCATAGAACGCCGTCCTGGGAATGACTGTAATGTCCCAGGCAGGGCAGCCATTATGCTTTTGTTAGTCATGCAAATTCTTAAAGTAAAAATAAAAACAAAAAAAAACAAAACACACACACACACATCAGAAGAACTTATATTTGCAATGACGTGAAGGGAAAAGAAGATGATAAAATTACAGAACAAAGCATGCACAAGTTAAGCACCTTGATGCTAAACTGCCACTGTCAGCTGATGAGGAAGACATATCCATGCTGAACATTTTACGGAGCCTAGGTCGTGCACGCTCACTTGTTTTAGGAACAGTTTCTGGTCCATCTAAATCATCAAGGGTAGACTGCCTTGAGAACAGCAGCGTGGTTGCTTCAGTGTAGCAGCTAGCAGCGCAAACAGTTACAGAGACACAGTGTTAAAACACCAGTGGCAAATCAGTTGACACACGGATCAATTGACCAACACACCGCCATGCAGCAAACACACATTACATCACCAGACAACGGCGACCACCACAGCGGGCTTGAGGACTGGAAGGGGCTGGTTAGGCAGGATAACGCAACACCACAGTACTGGGCTTGAAAAAAACATACTGGCAAGTGATACACTAGGGAATGTCACTCTCATTGGGACAGGGAAATAGTACAATTACCAGTCCCAACATTTCTGTCATAGAGAACTCATATCACTGTGATTTTGCAACTGAGGTTTATGGTAAATGAAAGAATATGTGCTTTATTTGGAGCTCCCTGAGTTCTTTGAGAGAATTTTGTAGCCAAATTGTTTAAGCAGAAATATCTGCTGGTGTAGAAGGGATGTTAAGAAAAAAAAAAATCAATCTTTTTTTTTTTTTTTTTTTTTAGCGTATCCGAAATGAGAGATGGAAGCTCAGGGACAACCACAAGAAACTGAATTTTCCACCCCATTTTCTGAGTGATATTCAGTTAAGCAAACTAGATGCCTTGCACATAGAAGATGCTGGTTTGATATACAGCTAGATATAAACCAACATCCAAAAAAATATATAAATAAATAAATAAAAGAAAGAAAGAAAATACCACAAAAAGAAAAAAAAATCAAAGAAAGTCTAGCAATGGCAGGGTCATTTTGTCTGTTAACTTCACTGCCTGATGAATTTTTTTCTTGGTGGATGCCATTCAGGCAAGTACCCATTGACTAAAATCTTCATATCCTGTTACCTGGTAGAGAAACAACTGGGTTGGGAATGACAGGAGATTTCAGGACTGAGATGCTACTGAAGGAGAAGCAAAGAGAGTTACGGCAAACACATGTAATAGGCGTAGTTTGACCCCAGAGCCTGAGATGGAGGCTGTCTGAATAATATTCTTCTGGCTTGAGTGCTGACAACCTGGATGAACCAGAGGAGTAGGCTTTGGGGATACAGGATGGCTGATTTCCCACTGACAATCATGATATTCAGCATATGATCACCAAGGAGACCTATTGCGAGCCTGGCCTGCAGTCAGTGATTGTGAAGTAGAAATGATGTAGCAATTTCTAGGGGACTGGTGGGGAGTAGGGAATGTGTCACTCACTCATAGAACCCACTAAAGAGACTTGTTAGCATTCAAGAAGTTTAACACAACTCCATGGGCAAGGAGGGGGACCACCCTTTGTGCATGTCATAGCTACGTGGCCAAGATGGGGGCAGGACAATGAGACAGGTAAACATGGAAACAACCAAATGGTCACAAATAGGGACACAGAGACTGATTTTTTTAAAAAAGGTCCTAATTCCTTTAGATGACACCATGTGTTGGACACAGTGTGAAGTTGATAGCAAGATAAATAAGAAACTCACTGGACAAGTGCAAGGAGGACTTGGTTTAAGTTTTTACATTGCCATTAACTAGATATTGGACTTTAAATCAGTTCCCATCTCTGGGGAATCTCATTCAACATTTCTGTATTGTTGATTTTCAACATTTAATTTCATATATTTAGAGTTTGCCTATTTTAGGAGTTTGCAGACAGAACACTGCATGCTCTTCTGTATTACTGTTTGGATTTTCTGCACAGACACTGTTTTAATTGCAAACTTCTCTTTATCCTGTTAATTTCTGGGTTAGTTCACATTCATCACCTTCACATTATCCCACCTTCAGAATTGACATAATCCTACCAAATGGGTTCTTTGTATTGTGGCCTATTTGTCATCCAAGAAGATTAGGATTGAAAGTGAAAGAGAAGGGGACGATATTTGCAATCTTATGCCCAGACACAAATGTAAATGGATGGCTGGTGGGTACTCAGGGCTTACAGCAAATCTCTTACATGACATATTATAAATGGCAACTCCTCTTTTCAAATTTATGGATGGTCTTTAGACTATAACTAATATTTCCTGTAATATATACTTTATTTCTGGAATGTTGATGATATCTGATTTAGTAAAATAACCAATAAATAATTAGTGCTGTTTTATATCAGTATTTGAAGGAATAATGACTATTCAAAAAACAAAGAGAATAAAAATTTATTTGCTACCCTACCTCATCTACTGTACACCCAAAGGTAAACAAGGGTGAACATACTTGCTGAGCAGGAGTCTGGAATACAGAGGCCCCCACCCAGACTGCTTATGGGTCAAGGGGTATGTCCATACTGAGAAGTGGCCAGCACGCCCTGGACTTTCCCACTGGGGATGACACTGGACTTTCCCCTTTGCCTTGGGTGTCCCAGAGAAATCCTCCACACTGGAAATCTTTTCTAGGGAAGATTGCTACCTTCCCAGAAATCACCATGACTTCTGTAAATGCCAGTATCATCAAATTATAGGGAGGCAATGGCTTTTTGTATATTGATTTTATAGCCTGTTACTTTGCTAAGCTGATTGTTTGGATGAGTTTTTCCATGGAGTCTTGAGGGCTCTCTGCATATATTATCATGTCTACAAATAATGATAGTTTTACTTCTTTCCCAACTTGGATTCCTTTTATATATCTCTCTTGTCTAATTGCTCTCACTAGGACCTCCAACATGTTTAATAGTAATGGTTAAATGGGACATCTTTGTCTTATACCACATCTTTGTGGAAACACGGGTGGAGCTGGAAGGGATACCTCTAAGGTAATCAGTCAGAATGAGAAAGATAAACACTGGATGGGTCCCTTATATGTAGAAAATAGAGAAACCAAACTAAAGACAAACCTAACAACTACCCCTTAAAATCTGACTGCAGAAGTATCCAGAGGGGCATAGGCTGAGGAAGGATGAGAACAAAGAGGGAAATGGGGCATTGTGGACTGTGACTGATTTGGGCAGCGGTATCTGAGCATGGTAGGGGGAATCCTATACTTCCAAAATACCCACAATAATGCAAACCAACATTGTCGCAATAATAAATATATATATATACTCTGTGGTGGTCGGAAAGTTTCCTAAAGCAAAGAAACTAAACATGTGTGTTTCAGTCTTTAAAAGGGCAAAAAATATAATTTGCTAATAACTACCTAGGATCTTAGCTTGAAAATTAAAAGTAAATAATATATTAAAAACTATAAAAGTTACATTAACTTTAAAGGTACTGGCTTTCTACTAGAAAATGTACTGATGGATTTACCACATTTAAATTTGGGGAATATTTTGTTTAAAAGCAGTTTAAATACCTCCTACCTCATGGCTTTTAATCATGGGCATTGTAAATCTTGGGTCATGCTTAACAGCAGTTACTAGATTTTGTTTAATTTTTCTTCTTTTTTCCTTTCTAAGTTGTCATTTACATAATATTTAGCTATTTTTTTAAAATAAATATTGCTTTCAGTTCTGAAACCCAGGAACAAACCATATGAAATTTTGTTGATTTATAATACTTTATCAATTTCAGGAATATAGATCTCTACCTCTATATGTGTATAATAGTGGACTTCTTAAATGGACCTACCAGTAATTGCTATGCAGTTTAAAGTTACCAATGCAGAAATTATGCAAGCCTATTTTATGCATAATTTATATTTAACTCACTTTCTAATGCACTATTTGATTCACTTAATTCAGAGGCTGGCTCTGAACGAGCTAGTCTCAAGCCAGGGTCATGTATGATATTCAGGTAGCCTGTGAAATTCTTGAAACTTTATGGGAAAAATTCACATTTATGTGTACATTTTCCCCCTTGGTGAGACTGTGTAAAATTTCAAAAAAAGTTTATGAAAAACAGTTACCAACCACTATTCCTGTCATTGTAGACAAAGGAAGAAAGCTTATTCTCTTCATTCCTCTTTTTACTTGCCAAGTTTAGGGATCCAGACAACAATAAAATCTGCTTTTTAAACAAAGCAAGAACAGAAGCCAAAAATTCATTTGAAAAATTATTAGAAATCACATTTGGGGGCAGCATATTTTAAAAAATAGGCATGAATATGAAGTAATCAAATTATAGGATATGCCCATATACAACTATAATCTTTCTGAATACTCCCAGTGAAATAAGAACATGGCTTTCAGTTAGGTTAACCAGAGCAGCCTGAGCAGCCTTTGATTCCAGAGTTCAGCTAAAGGGAAACAGTGCCTAGCCCCGGCTCAATATACACCGAGCAGTGCCGCGCAATGTATAGGTAAGCTGATACATAAAAGCAGCATTTTAGAAGGTGTGTATGGAGAACCTCAGCATTTTTCTTCTCCAACTATTCTCCCTCTTTTTGGAAAGATGGTTGCTTGGTCACAAATAGGTGATGACATGGTTTGGTTTGGAAGCTTTTAGAACTCCCTGAACCCCAGTTCACCCTTTTCACATCTATGACTGGGAAACATCTGGAGTAGTCATCACACTCAGATGGCGCCTCCCCATCTCCCTGCGAACACACCTGGACACATTCACACACGTGCCCCTGCAGTCTTCGCTTACTAGTATGACTACCATGAACTAGCTTGGAGTACATCTGGGGTGAATGGCGAGAAAGATGGATCTTCAGTTTTGACGTAAAAATGAGTTAAAGAGAAAATGATTTAGCTTAAGTAACTGATCTACAAGAGAGAGTTGTTCCAATAGAAGGCTGGAAGCTTTCACATAGGACATCTGTTGTTAACAAAACTATAGATAAAATATAAACAATGACTTTTTGTCTCACTGGAGTTTGTTAAAGAGGGTTGAACACTCCTCTTTCAAAAATGCTGGCTGCTGTCTGCTTTTCTACATGTAAGGAGGGTCTGTGAGCATAACATTAAACTTCCACTTTGTGTCTTTGATATTGATAATGTTTTCAGAAATTAACAACTGAGCAATGTGTGTATGTATTGTGTGGAGAAAGAGTGAGGAATGAAATTTTATTAGCCGGCCATTGTTCTAGTAATCAATTATCTTGTTCTAGGAATTAAAAGCATCTTGAACAGGATTTCATTTAGCAAATGAATGTGTGGGGATTGAAACCCACAAGAGTTTTTGTCCTAATATTTTCTTCTATTCACAAAAATATGTAATAGCAACTATATCGGCTTCTTTGAAACTTATACACTGGCAAAGGTTATCACAAATTTATAGGGAAGATATAATGTCTTTTATCATCTCTCATACATCTCTAAAATAATTAACACCTAGTTTTGGAGGATGGGAAGAAAATACAAAATTTTGTCTGTACAAAATCATATTTAATTGACTACATGTTTTCCTATATGTTTTCATAAAAATAAAGTTACACTATCATGCTATTTTGATAAAACTTGTTTTTAACACATATATGGTAAAAATCTCTCCGCATCAAGAAGTATAGCTTTGTATTGATAATTATTGGGTAACAAAAGAACAGGCACAGCCGGAAAAGCTCCAATAAAGTCTTCAGCAACAGTCAAAAATAGCACTTCAAGGCAAAACAAATTTTATTCTCTTCTCCCTGCTCAGGTTGCTGTTTCAACTTCTAGTCTCAGTATCCTACTCTACTTTGCCTTTGGAGTCAGTCAGTGTTTGTGAATAACAAGTCTTTAGTGCCTTGCTCAACATATGAAACACTGCAGTGAATAATCCAGGAGTTTCTAAGTGAGCAGTGGGACCGAAGTCCAACATCTCTGCTGTCCTTACACCCCTCACCCAGGTGTAAACCACTGTGAGGCCGCTCGTCCTTATACGTCCATCCCAGAAGCCGGCCAGGGCCAGGCCCGCTGGAATAGGCATCTGTTAACATGTTTGACGAAAACAATAAATACATGAATGTTCTCAGTGATGCAGCCTTTACCTATGAAGAAGGATGTAAGGTGTACTTCATTCATTGTAACTAATCACCTTAAGTAAATCATTTTCCTGCTAACATAGGACTTCTGCTTTAATGTAGAAACTAAATCTAAGGAGTCAAGAGTAACTATCAAGAACTCCATGACAATTCAGAGGCTTTTCTGGGATAGGCAATAAGGAAGATAGATCAGTTCTCAAAGTCGGTCGTTGGGTGCAGGAAGTGGCAGTGAAAGTGACTCAGCTATCACAGTGGTGAGAACTTGAACTTTGAGCTGAAGAACGATGTGAGTTTGGATTGACTTATGGGAGGGTCACCAGAGACAGAGTGGGGAGCAGTGGACAAGACAGGATAAGCTAATGGGTCATACATGGCTCACCTCCCTGGCTGGGCTCAAACTCAGGCTGTTGGTAGTGATTGTGCTGAGACTTAACCCCTAGGCCACCAGGCAGGTCCCCTGGGTTTGGATTTTCTTTCTAACTTTTGCAAGTTACTTAACTTCTTTGTTACTGAATTATGTTTTCTGTAAAATGGGAGTGATGGCAGTATGCATCTCTTAGGGCCTTACAAAAGTAAATGGGGTGACCTTTGCACAGTGCATAGTGCTGGCTTGGAAGGGGAGCAGTATCTGGTCACACAACTCAGGGGAGATGAAAGCTGACTTCTCAAGTCTTTATTTTGAACTATAAAGTAACAGTTCTGAAAGGCACATATCAAGAATAGTAGTAGATGGTAGATAATCCCAGTAGACACACTGAGAAGCAGCATTTTTAAAAGGTCTTAAAGATGCAGCTCTTAATCCAAATAGTTCGCGATAGGTAAGACTCTTTTTTACTTGCCTTCAGTTTGGAAATCTCTAAACTGGGCCTGTGAATCACGCAGGTGTTTCTAATAGCTTATTATGGGTAGCACTTTCACCTGGCTGTCTAGGGGCAGGTAATGTTCCTTTTGCTTAGCTGTATACATGGAGACAGTGGAAGAGGGTGTACCTCACATAAGTTTTGATTAGCTTCACTTCACACGTTCATTTCTCATATATTTGAAGCCCACCTCCTTTACCTTTGTCAAAAGCAAGCCCATTGTTTAGAAAGTGAAATACCTGGAGATACTGTCATGTGAATCGAGGCTGTCCATCCTGTTGGCTGGCTGTGCGCTGGAGCCGGCACCAGCATGGCCGTCGATTGTGTCCAGTCCCGACTCTCTGGAGAGGTTCATGATGTGGTTCTGATAGTACATGTGGATGCTCTCCCGAGTGGGAACATTGCCCTGCCAGGAGGACACATCACCCCGGTTCTTACAGAAGTTCTGACTTGTGCCCCCGTGACATGTCTCTACACGGACAGTTGCTCACTGTCACACACACCATGAATAAGGATTAAAGCAAAGCTAGTCAATTTGCCACTGATGTCTACCTGGTGAATGCACGGTGCCCAGTAGTCCAGGGAAATGCCAAACAAGAAGTCTCTTCTAATATGTAGATCATTTTGCTAAGTTATTTGCAGAAAGGAGCATGATTTTAAAATATACTCTATAAAACACATGCAATTTTATTTCATTGCTCTGCATACAGCCTAGTTTTTCCTATGAGAAATTTCAGATCAAATTTCCCAGACTAAACAACATCATCGTGCATCTGCAGCTCTGGTGAGGGGAGGGGCAGCATGAGGAAGCTCATCAGTACCCCAGGGATCTGTATGGGAGTGGCAGAGAGAAGTGTCTGATTATTTTAATTCCAAACATGACAAAGATTTAGCTACAGAAAGCCATGGGGTTATGCTAAGTGCATCTGGAAAGGACTCTGCCTCATCCTACTTGGAGTTCTGACTTTTAACATTTTTATAATGTGGGAGAAGTAGAAAGGATTATACCAAATGGTGTTACCTTTTTAATTTCTCTGGTCAGCATGCATCTTTCAATTCTTAGAACTGTAGATATATCAATGTGCTCCCTTGAAATGGAGTTCAGCCAGGTTGTGAAGCTGTCCACGGTTGCCAGGAACAGGACCCAGGTAAATTTCAAAATATTAAATATCCTCTTGATGATATTATCTAGGAGAAAGGAAACCAACAAGATTTCAAGGAAAATAATATAATCATCAACCATTCTTCTGTTGTGTGCACAGTGATTTTTTGCCAAAGCCAGGCCTGGCTTCAGGTCTGTATACCCTCCAGTCATGGGGTGCTCGGTACTCAGCTTGATGGGGACACTCAGCAGCAGCATCAAAGCCAAGATAGATTTATTTAAAGCTTTTGTTCAAAATATCACCAGACTAGTCTAGTTATAGGTTCGGTTAGCAGTAGAGATTGTACTCAAATATATTGCTGTTACTGACATAGGGAAAGAAACAACACATGTCTAGCTAGGTAACCAAGTCTCTGGATGCTTTCATTATGTCTCCTCTTTTAATTCTTGTTGGAAACATTTCTGTTGATTCAGTAAGAATTTGTTGTTTTACTGCAGTCATACTTCAGTTAATCAACTTAAAGATATCCAGTAAAGTGCTAAGAGTGATCTATGCCACTGAATGGTCAATATCATTCTTATTTAACACACTGATCTGTGCTAGGACTGACACAGGTCAGTCCTCGCCAAGCCAACTGAAGGCCCAATCATCTTGTTGACTTGGATTCCTCCTTCATCTGGCCTGCTCTGCTCTGTATGTCACTGTACCATCAGGGTGTCTCAAAGTCTCCCACACACGCCTCTCAGGTACCCTGTGGGAAGTTTAACCCGATTTCAAGGGCCACTAATAAGGTTTGTGGAGTGGTTCCATGCAGTGGCCTTCCTTATTTTAGGCCAGAATCAACATAAAAAGGAAGATCTCTTATTACCTGTCTGCCCTACAACTCATTCTTATAAGCCAGCAGTCTCTCAACCCACATACAAGGAACCAAATTTCCACAAATGTATAATATTTTTTGATTTGGAATTTAAAAGTTTTGTATTATTAACTGTTTCAAACATTGACTAGAAGAAAGTGAATACTTAGTGACCATGACAATGAATTGAAGTTTGCCTTATGGTTTATTAAAAAACAACCACCACTGCTAAATCACCAATACTGTCCATAAGAAAAACAACTTTTAGCTCTTTCCCCGACCAAAGATAAAGAAAACTAAACTCAACTGTCATGTGAAATCTTCACAAATTACAGTGATTAGTGATTTACAGTTTGGAATTGTAACTTAAAGATCACTAGTACCGCATATATGAGATACACACTGACATAAGCCGTTGTGATAGAATCAACAAACTTTCTGTATACTTCCCCAAAGGTTAACTGGCCTCATGCTCTGCACAGCAGTTACCTAGCTCTATTGTGTGCTGGGCAAGCAGAATGGCAACAGCTGGGTTTCAATAAAACTCGATGGGCACTCATTTGAATTTCATAATGTTCATGTCAAGAAAAACTTTCTTCTTCTTCTTTTTTTTAACTTTAAAAGTGTAACAAGCAGATGTAAAAATAAACAGATGTGCAATACATGGAATCTTTAGAAGGGTTGGTGTTCACAGTAGAAAAGCACGATCATTTTGCTTGCCGGTAAATAATTGCACACTGGAGTTCTAACTGTGGGATAGAGGAAATGGCATATTTATGGAACAGAGGGATTTGAATTCATTTAATTTGGTGGCTTTTGTTTTGCACTTATTTTTTTTTTTTTTTCTACATGGAGAGATCTTCCCACTCACAGTGAAATCCAAATGGCTCTGTGGGCTGGGAGTTAGGAAGGCATGGCTACTGCCTCTGGGCACTTACTGGGATTTGGTTTCCTCCCCTAAAATGATGAGGTTACCTCAAGCTTCTAGAGTATCTCTCAGTTCCTCAATTCTACTTTCCTTTAGTTAACTCTTTCTTTCTAATGTTCTTCAAAATTAGTTGCCAATATTTTTGTGCCTGTATTCTGATAACTTCAATGATCAGGTATGACTTGCTCCCTAAAATCTCCTTTCCTAGGCTCTTGGATAGAGGAACTTAACAATTGGCTCTAAGCCAATATTTCTTCCAATAACATAACGGTCAGACCTGTGTTTAGGTGTAGTTTTGAAATTCTACCAACAATGACATCAAGGGATATTGATTGTTTAGTCATAGTCCAGAAACATATTTGATTAATTATTTTTAGGCAGCTTTCCACTTCATGTTTTCTGGGCAAGTGTCATTTTCAAATATCCCCCAGTTCGTATATGTCTCTACTGCATTACCTGGGCCATCAGATTTCTTTTTGATGGGTTCATCCTCTTTGTCTTCCCAGTCCACAGGACCTGCCAGGTGAGGGCAATAAAAACAAGTTAGATCCTTTTAGTTCTAAATAACAACACTGCCCCTCTGGATTAATGGTAACATTGTAATAAAATCCAGGACATTCTGCCCATTTTAAGAGTTCCTGAGGAGAAATTATAGGATTTCTGAGCTTTCAGACTCCCTTTAGTCCATTCCAGACTAAGAATCATATATACCAGGAAGGGGAAATCTCAGTCCTCTGGACAAACCTTGATGGCTTCCTGTTGTTTAATGGCCTGTGAGTTTCAAATGCTTTTTACATTTTTTAATAGGTGAAGAAAACTAAAAAGGAATTTTTGTGCATGTGAAAATTATATGAGATTCTACTTTTAATGGGTGCAGCCATGCCTACAAGTTAACATATTGTCTGCTTTCCCCTTAGCATGGCAGAACTGAGTTGCAACAGTCGCTTATCACTTGCAAAGCATAAGATATTTATTACCTATATCTTTACCAAAAAATTCTGGTAATTCCTGACTTGTACTATGAAATTTTAATTTTGAATTCCTTGGGATTATGTTGCAAATTTTAGTGTGTCACCCTTTTAAGATGATGACATTGGATTTTATTTGATTTAGCATCTTACTTAAGGCTAAGGTCATCAGATCTAGTAAATAAAACCACAGAGCACCCAGATAAAACTGCATTTAAAATAAACAACAAATAACTTTTAATTTTAGTGAGTCCCATGTAGTACATTCAAATTATTATAAATTATTTTTTTAAACATCCTTCTTTATTTTTTCAAAATATAGGATTTCTCTCCTGAGATATGACCATATGTCCAAATTGTACATAAGTCACAGAAAATTATTGTGTATGTAGAATTATAATTTGACTGGATTTCTTGTAATTCATTTGGTAATCCTAACTAAGATTGTTCACAACCTGACTCCAGCTAATTTCCCAAATTTATTTTTTCTACTCTTCAGTTTCACATCTTGTCTTTACCAACTAACACCTGCTCTTTACTTTTCATGCAGAATCTTACTTTCTTCTGTTAGAATGTCTGGCTCCATATAAACATTGTCTTTGTTATGAAGTATTATATTTCTGTATACTAGTGGCTACAAATCTTTCTCCCTGTGGTCTCACACTGTTTCATTTTATTTTATAAATAGAACTTCATTGATCCTATGTCTTTAGGGATATCCCCCCTTATAATTATTCTCTACTGGTTAAGACAGAAGGATCTAGAGTTAGGATGTCTGGTATGAAATCCACGCATACCAATCAGTGGCTGTGTGAAATTAGGCAAGTGAGTACATCATGTGGGACCCTCATTTCCTCATTTGTATGGCAGAGATAATTAAAATGTCCCTGGGCTGCTGTGAAGATCAGGTAAGTAAATACACATGAAGCACTTACAACAGCACCTAACACTTTGAAAGGACCTAACCTATTAGTCCATCTGTCTGAAAGTCAATGGAAGAGGTGATTTTTGTTTATTTTTATTTATTTATTTTAAGATTTATTCATTTGTGCATACAGAACTGGGGTACAGGCCAGAGGCTCAGGGGCAGTGAGCGGCTTCACCAGAGACAGAGTGGGGAACAGAACAGGCAGATCGACGAAATACACTGCTGACGGGAGCAGTGGGCAGGTCAGGAGAGGTCTGCCACGCCATGTGGTCACCTCCGGGACAGACGGGAATTGAACTCTTGCGGAAGCGGCTTTAGATTCTCAGTGCTGTGGTTTAACCCACTGCGCCACCAGGGAGGGCCTGTTTATTTTTATTTTATTTTATTTTATTTATTTTACTATCTTTTTCATTTTAGAGGTGATGTTTTGTGCCAAGAAAGTATTGAGCAAACATCTACTAAGGAATAAAGAAAAACTTATTTCAGTCCCATAATTTAATATCTTTTAATTATGGCTACTTTTAATTATTAGCAAACAGAGAGAGACAGAGATAGCTGTATCTGAAATAATCGTCATGATCCAGGGTAATGCAGCATTCACAAGACGACAAACATATTTTTAGAACCTGGTCAAATCATTTTGGAAGAGTAAATGTCTGAGAATAGCAAATAAAATTTTGAAAAAAAAAAAAAAAGATGTGGCAAAGGGAGTTTGCAACACTAAGTACATAGTAACTCTAACGCTACTCACTCAAAAATATATGGCATTGGAGAAGAACTAGACAGTAGGATAGTGGATCAGAATACAGAGCCCAGAAACATACCTAAGAATAAACAAGAACTTAATATTGACCAAAGTAGCACTTACATTCATGGGAAAAGGAAGAATCAATTAATAGATAGGGATAGTATTTTGTTTGTCCAACTAAAAGTCATAGATCTTATAGACTATATAGAATAATTTAAAAATTATAAATGTAAATAACATTAGAATTAAATATATGAAAAGATTTATATAATTCTGGGGAGGTAAGGAGACTTTCTTAAGCAAGTTGGGGACCCAGAAGTCATAAAGAAAACTTAGACCTATTTGACATCAGGAAAATTTTAAAATATTTAGGTAAGTATGCTATAAACTAAATGAGAGGAAAATTAAAGGCAACAGACTAAGAAATCCTACCTTTGACAATCTATTCTGTGGAACATATCTATCTTTCCTGACTTTTTGCTGTGCATTTAAATGCATACACGCACATATGATTAGGTAAAAATTTTTGTGCAAAAAGGTATCTATGATAGTGGTATGTTTTGTGGCAACTATCTGGAAGCAAACTTTATGTCCATTAGTGATGGAATAGCTGAATAAATTATGCATATCCATACTGTAGAATAATTTGTAGTTATTAAACTTGATATACAGTGTTATGAATCTTTAAGTGGAGAAATGTTCATGATACATTGCTAATGAGTGCACAAAAGCAATTTGTAGAGCATGATCTCATTTTTATTTTATTTTAAAGATTTTCTTTATTTATGCATACAAGACCTGGGGTACAGGCCAGAGGTGTGGGGGAAGTGAGAGGATTCACCAGAGACAGAGCGGGGAGCAGAACAGGCAGATCAGCAAAGTACACTGCTGAGAGGAGCAGCGGGCGGGTCAGGAGGTCTGTCCTGCCATGTGGTCACCTCCATAGGGGAGGGGGAACCAAACTCTTGCCATAATGGCTGCAGATAACTTCAATAACTTCATATTGCTTCCATTTAACCCACTGTGCCACCAGGGAGGGCCCTTAATTCATTTTTAAAAAAACAAAGGGAGCCTTGCAGCCACACCTCTGTACAAGGTAGTGGAAGTAAATTCAGCACACTTTGAAGATTTGGTAGCTCAGTGGATGGGTCAAGGGCAGACGGTGCATCTACCTCTTTATTGATTGACTTGTTTCACCAGCTATGTTCTCATTTGTTCTTTTTGAATCAATAAAATAAAATAAAAGTTACCAAGAGGGAGCAGCGGGGACTAGGAGGCAGAATGATCAAAGAGATTTTGCAGTTTGACCTCCATTTGAAATTACATTTTCTTTTTTCTATTTGTTGAATAAATTTTTAATTTCACAACAATAAATAAGTATTTTCTTGGTAGAAAACCAATATAAAACAGATTAACCTAAAGTTCTTTTTAATCATACCACAACCTCATTTCTTTATTCTCCCCCTTCAAGAGTAATTGCTATTATTAAGTTGCTAAGTATTCTGATCTTCTTCCTGCACTCACACACTATTACACACACTCATTAAATATGCAACATTTGCTTTGAGGTATTTTGGTTTCCTTTGCTTCATAAATGGTTGCAGAATATGGAGGCTTTTTAGCAACATTTTTTTTTTTTCACTTAACAATAAGATAGGAATTGTTCTCCAGGTGAGTTCAAAGTGATCCATCTCATTATTTATTTAGTTTTTTTATTTATTTATGCATACAAGAACTTGGGTACAGGCCAGCGGTGCTGGGGGTGAAAGGGTTCACCTGAGACAGAGTGGGGAACACAACAGCCATATGCATTGAAATACACTGCTGAGGGGAGTAGTGGGCAGGTCAGGAAAGGTCTGCCACACCATGTGGGTAAGCTCCTTGGCAGGGGTCAAGTGCTGCAGTGGTTGTGAATAGCTTCATAGTGCTGTGCTTTAACCCCTTGTGCCCACCAGGGAGGGCTATTCCATCTCATTTTTTAAACTAGTGAACAGTATTCTATAATACATTCATAATGTAATGTATTGCTTCTATTTATGTGGGGATTGAGAAGGTTTTCAAATTTTTGTTATTAACAAATCATATTGGGCAGGTATTCTTCAATCTGTGTCCTTGTGCACACACGTAAACATTGCTCCAGGTTAAGCTACACACTTAGAAGTGGAACTTAGTCTTAATAGGACAGGAAGTGAACCACCGAAGTAACATTTCCGTAGCTTCTCCTCAAAGTGGTTGTACTTTACGAGACCACTCATCATGGTAGCAAGCACTTATCTTCCCATTGGCTGCAAATGGTGATACTAACAACTGTTTAGGTTCATGGTAATCCAACATGTAACAGCCAGTATATCAAACACTTGTTTGTATTTTGGTATTAGTAGTGAAGCTGAATACCTTTTGGACATTTCTTTATTCTGATGTATGAAATATTTTTCATCTGCTCATCAACTGAATTAAAATTATCTTTTACTGGTGTTTAGGAATTCTGAATACATCCAGAACAGGGACTTGTTTCATATATACAATGAAAAGTTTTCCCCTGTGTACCCTAGTTCCTTTTGACCTTGCTTTTGGTGATTTGGTGCAGTTTGAAACATTGACCCTTTAGAAATGCTCTCATGGCATATCTTTTCAAGGGAATTAGTCTAATGTTTAATATGACATTGGAAATTATGCTCCATTTTTGATTCCTAATACTTTTTAAGTATGCTTTCACTTTTGTTCTTCACCAAATTTTCTAAAGTTCATCTTTATTAGTTTATTCTAAGAACAACATTTTACTTAATGATCTGATTTTGTCTTATATTTCTTTTTTACATCTTAATATGCCACCTAAAAAATACACTTTTTCCCTTCTACTTTATTTTGTTCCTTTCTCATCCCACTTTATATGCTGGATCTTCACTTAAGTTCATGATTTAATTTATTCCAGGTGTCAGATTTCAGCAGTTAAAAAGTAGAATCCTTGAACACTAGAATTTATGAACTTCAGTCCCCGATTTTTGTCCTTTGCAGATTCTCTTTCATATTTGCATAGAGGGGGAGAACTGCCAGAGCCCGCTACACACACATGATACTCACCCTCCCCAGAAGCTTTCCTCTTTCCTTTCTGTTCACCTCTCTGAGACCTTCTTTTCTCTCTGCGCCTCTGTCGGAGGGCCGTCTTGGGGTCAGTGATCCAGGCTTGGTAAACAAACTGAAGGGAGAAAATGTAGTTATTTTCCAGATTTTTAATACTTTGGACTTTTTTAAAAAGGGACCAACACCAAGTTTTCTGACTTTTGGAAATCTTATCTTTTTCTTTTCACTCTCAATACAGACTAAATATTTCTCTCCCATGTCCCTCAATATTCAGAACTAACCTGTGCTGTTTTCATTATCATGAAATAAAATATGAAAATAAATTTTGTGATAATGTATTTCATTTAGTATCACAGATGACCATGAGATTCACTGGGAATACAAACCGAATCCTGCATCTCTCCCAAATCCCACAAATCATCGCCATTTGTTACTGATTCTCTTACGCTACACACATAGGAATAAAATGGAAGCCTGGCTACATGTTTGAGTAGCTGTCTCCTATCAAAAATAAACTTTGACTCACAAACAAAACAGCATTTTTTATTCATTTACTTTAGGAAAATAACAGCACTCTTAATACTCTCCCTTGTGAATAACAGCTATTACCAGCAACTTGAAAAGGATTTTGCAGATTAATTAGCATTGGCAGCGAAAAGACCATGTGATATTAAGATTAAGGAGTTACTTCAGAATGGGATGGAAGAAAAACTGGTGATTTTGTTTGCCTTTTGCGTTTTCATTCAAGAGCTGAAAATAGTTGTGTTAATATATTATCGCTGAAAACCACGATAGAGCAGATTTGAATAGCCACCCACCAATAGTCTCTGAGTCATGCAGAAAGAATAAAAATGAAACCTTGAGATACAAAGTCAGCCATCTGTAATCACCAAGCCAGGCAGACATGCTTCTCATGCACCTGTCACACACCTGGGTCTCAGGGAAGCTGGGTTTGCTATTGTGATGATAAAGTTAAAGAAATGCTTTGTGGGGACTCTTGTGAACCCAGCCACTTGAATTTTTATATTATTTTCAGGTTTCTGAAATATTTGAAAAGTACAGGTGAGGAAACCATTGTCATTGTGAAGCCAGTAGAAGGAAAGAGGGGTTCAACTCTTACATGTCTGGACATCTAGAGGTCATAGGTTACTAAGGAAGAACATTTCTCCTTTTTTCTCATTGGTAACCTCCTGAATCTTAATGGCAGTTAATATAAATGTATAATCTGTATAATTCCTGAAAAAACAAAAATTTAGTCATAGTATGCCAAAACATTTTGTTAATAATAAGAAGAACTAGAGATTGAAGTGGAACAAAATGTAGTAATTATCTGAATTATTAATGTAATAGATTTGGAGGCATAACAGCAGTGGATGGTGCCATTTTCTTTCTTTCTTTTTTTTTTTTTTACAATACTACTTCCATGTAATGCAAGAATCTCAAACAAAATAAAAAAAGTAATTCAGGATTTGTGAATATAACAGGTGTTCAAGTTGGAGGGATTCTTTTACTCTGAAGAGAAATGAAACACCTAGACATAGGGTGAGAGGAGCGAGCAGGTGATGTTTGGGATAGGATGAAAAAGTCTTGTCACAAGGGTTAATAGCACTGACATTTTGAATTATCAAAAGGGGTTCTACATCTGATCCTTAAGTGATCAAGCTTATCGGTGCTTTCTCAATGAAATAGGAATTTATATAATGTAAATAAATGGGAGAGGGAGAAAATCATACAATTCCTTATTTGTAGGTAAATCATTATAATGTTAATATTTGGAAATATATTTTTACAGTTCCAAAGACATGTAAGAAAAGGTCAGTTTTTTTTTTTAAAGATTTATTTATTTGTGCATACAGAACTGGGGTACAGGCCAGAGGCTCAGGGGCAGCAAGAGGCTTCACCAGAGACAGAGTGGGGAGCAGAACAGGCAGATCGACGAAGTACACTGCTGAGGGGAGCAGAGGGCGGGTCAGGAGAGGTCTGCCATGCCATGTGGTCACCTCCGGGGCAGGCGGGAATCGAACTTATGTGGAAGTGGCTTTGGCTTCTCAGTGCTGTGCTTTAACCTGCTGCACCACCAGGGAGGGCCAAGTTTTGCCTCAGTACAAACGTTTCAAGAAAATCTTGTTAAAGAACAAGAGAAAACATTTTAATTCTAACAAAGAAATGGAAGTTTCTTTCTGAAATTTAACCATTTGTACTTGGGAGCTGTAATGCTCATCTAATCTGATAGGTCTTTCTGAGGATTCCGGCTCAAGTACCACTAGTCATGTTGAAACCCACTTGAAAGGGTACATAAATATCCTTTGGTTTCTTCAGACTGGTCTTGTCTCTCATGGTATTGTCAACCTTGCCTTAATTTTTCTCTTAAATCTTTTTACCCTGTTATTATATAAATTAAGGGGAAATGGGACTAATTTTAATGGAAACTTACAATACAAAAAGACTTATTCTGTGAAACAGGAGAGGGTGCTATTGCAGTGGAGAGGCAGTAGAGTGCAGTTAGATAAACTCTTAATTCTGCTGTAATCCAGGACTTTCTTTTATTTTTAAGATTCTTTTCAAGGTAGGGATACTGACATTGTAATCTTTCATGTAAATACTTAAGTATTTGAATCAGAGACTGATTCAAATCATAAGACACAAACAAAGAATCCTGATTGTGCAACAACAGTGAATAGTAAACAAAAGGCCAGAATCCTGGCATTTAAAAAGGGCAGGACCCTGAATATCTAGAAATGCTAACCAAGGTGGACAGCCAGATATGCTCCTTGAGAATTCATGAGGAATACAGATTTGCAGCTCCCAGTGGATTTAAGCAACCTGAGTTTATACAGGGTTCTGTGTGAAGAAAGAACAATTGTCTTGGTCGCTATCCAAATTATTGGCTTAATATTTGAGGGGTGTAAATACTTAAACATTTAGGGTTTAATACTTAAACCCAATGAGGTCAGGAGAAACAGTTTTTTTATAAATTACAAGAATAGTAACTCATTATTTGTGATTTTCAATAACAATATAGGTAGCTGGATGATTTCTGTGGTGTATTAGATTAACTAATGGATTCTTTTATTTTATTTATTTATTTATGCATAGAGGAATTGGGGTATAGGCCACAGCTACAGCAGGTAGGGGGTGAGAGTATTTACCAGAGACAGAGTAGGGAGCAGAACAGGCAGATCTACTGAAATATACTACTCAGGGGAGCAGCGAGTTAGAGAGGAGAGGATGGCTGTGCCATTTGGGGGTTAGCTGTCTGACTTAAGCCACAGCAGTGATAATATTGAGACTCAACCCCTAAGTCACCAGGGAGGCCCCAGCAAATGCTTTTATTAAAGAGAAGTTTATTTAGCACTATCACTAATGACATAGGAGTGAGGAGCTACCCAGTCTTCACAGAGTCATAGCCTCGTGAGGTGCTGCTTTGATTTCAGAATAATGAATAGAAGAGATCCAATTTAGGAAGAAGAAATTAAAAGGAAGTCAAAAGGGAGGTGGAACAAAATGAGTCATTTTTGCAGCTTATTTGTAATTTTACCAGCTTTCTGAGAAAAAAAAATTATCATATGTTTTACACATCATAACTGATGCATGCAACCAGATGTGATCCTTTAAAAATGAGATGTGATTTAGACAAAACTACAAGGACAGAACTTAGATGTGTATCTGCATTTTCTCTTTCTATTTTTTGGTAGACTTTGATGTCAACTGAAAAACAATAATCACATAATGGGAAATTTGGCTCATTGGAACTCTTTTTGGAAAAGTTTGCTCAGTATTTTAAATTCTTTTTTGTACGAGCTATAGAACGGGGAAATGCAGATGTAGGGCAACAGGGATCTGCTTGTCTAAAGTTCTACAGAGCAGAAGTTCACACACCACACATCAGAAAACTTCAAATACCTTTGCAGCTCTGATTAAATACTGAAGAATAGTTTTGGGAAGTTTAATGACAGACTTTGGCAAGGCTAAAATGGCTGATGCAAACTTCCCAATAGCTCTCTACAAAGAAGGACAAAGCAAGAGTAATTAGTAGGAAAAAAAAACCCAAATTAGTAATTTTGTATATGAGGTCAGTAGGAGTCTGTCTCTACAATTACATCATCTAGGTCAAATTGTGTCCATCATTGAAGCTAGAATAAAATGTGCTTTCTAGTAAGTTATAAATAAAGGAAATAGTCAATCATTACATGTAATCCATACAAATGGTGAAGATGATCGTGTCCTCTCCTTTGTTGCATGATGAATGAAGGTTGGAATGAATAAAAATAAAACTTATATCATCAGTGCTTGACAAGCCAGCTGCACACATTCACACAGTTAAAATCCTTAAGAAAATCACTCAGGTAGCACTGAGCCATGAAAAAAGCATCAGAGCAAGAAGTGTCCATGAACAACTTGGTTCTTCAGTTTCACTGGGAAGAAAGGGGTAGCCAACTTCCAACTTCCAGAGACGTGATCAGTGATCTGATAATATCTCATCATAAACACATTTGTGTTTTGATGGCTGTCATTTTATATGCTTTGCAAAGGTATAACAAATGTGAAATAATTGTCTTAGTATGTGGTTCCTTTAAAAATAAATATGTAACTTTCACTCCACGTGTAACTCTAAGGACAATCTCATCTTTAACGAGAACTGATCACACATTCACTCAGTTCACTATAATCCAGTGGTGAGCTACATCTCCAAGAATGATATAGCAGCATCTGAGAAAGAAAGGCATTAAGCTGGAAAAGCAATCAGAACTGTGTTAAGTATTTTCATTATTTCAACTTCTCAAATCTTTACCAATACAAATGGAACTAATTTTCAAATTTTACAGCAACATTCAAAGGTAATTTGTTTCAACAATTACTTCAGATGTGAAATGTAAGTACACTCAAGAAAAATCCAAAGTTATGCAAGAGAAGTCTTCTTCCCCTCCTACTTGAAAGAGAAAAATCAAGTCAACCCAAGGAAACTGTTTGTTTTTAACATCAGAAAAAAATTTGATGTAGAGACTCAAGGTGAATATTGTTTTCACATGGCAACAAATGTGGTCATGATGGAGCAAATGTGAGGAATGAACAGTTCAGAATGTCAGTTAGAGGCCAATGTCCACGAATATGAAAAAGGTCTGCAAATGGGACCTATAGAAAAGAAAAAAGCTCTTCAACTGCCAAAGGTTTTGAGCTTCTCGCCCATAGTTACCTGGAAAGCTGACTTCCTGGGAGGTTCCTCATCTTCCTTTTTTAATTCTTCCTCTTCCTCCTCTTCACTATCCGATTCAAACAAATAATAATCTCCACTCCTGACCACTGAGCAAAACAAAATATTTACTTATTTCTCGAAAGAGATAGAGGTAATTAATGAAATGCCCCCACCCAAAGTTATGCAAATTGTCCTTAAAAGGCCATAACAGGAGATGTAGTGGGGGGAGGGGAATCAAGAGATGAAAAGAACTTACTCTGTGCTAACACAATGTGGTACAATTAGGTCTACAGGGGCCTTATCTTTATATCTGGCACTTTCTTCCTTCTTTATTGAAAATTTATGCAGATGCCTTAAATCAACTACAGCAATTCGTTTTGTTACCAAGATGGTCAAAATAACTGAAAATTATTACTGCTTCATAATGCAGCAATTTTGGTCTATTAGACAATACCAAAAGCAAATGCAGGATTTGGCATTGTCTGACTTGGTCCAAAGTGTTGCAAAAAGCCAATGAACATCATTTGGAACCAAGAATCAATGTCACCAACCTTCAGCTTCGTTTTACACTGTGGCAGACCTGTCTTCTTCACAGGTGACACAAGAGACATAACATACATGGCAAGACATCTGAGTTAAAAAATAACATTCTGCTATGAGGAGGGAATGAACAGGTGACAAAAAGAAATACTCCCACAAAAACACCACCACTGACCTGGCCATTCTTACACTAAACAGCACAGATGAGGCACAGTAGTTGTGGCCTATGTGGTTCAGTACTGGTAGGCTACAAGGAGCTCCCTAGGATTTATTGCAATTTGATGACAGCTGTACTAACAAGACAATAAGCTTAATAGTGTGGCTTGTCATTACTTTATATAATACTGTCTCTTCCAGAGCATATTGCTGTGTTACAACTTGGGTGGAGAGAAAAGAGACCCTGAATATACATTTCTGAACCTACAAGAACCGTTATAGCAGCAAAACATATATTAAGATTTAAAGGCTGAGGCATCTTTTGGATGACATAAATAATGTCTTCAGTTAACTTTTGGAATTACACTTTATAGGGTAATGGAAAACCTTGGCTTGTTTAAAGTTAATTTCTTGAATATTAATAAACATGGTCAAAAGACAAGTAATTTTGCCCATGATTTCAGACGTATCTGAAACCTTCATCCGTGAAGATGCAGAGTGAATGAATTGGGCCTTATATCCTTGAACAGAAGCACTATAATTTGTCGTGTTTATATTGAAGAAAGAACCAGGCCCAGAGGACTGGGTCCAGGCCTGAGGAAATAAATGCAATACAACATAAGGTAAGAATAAGCGAGAACAAACCAAAGTTACAGCATTACGTTTGACAGTGAGGAAGACCATTAAAGTAATGCTTTCATGTAAGCTTAGAGATTGCAGGAAAGTTACATGGACTCTGTGTCACATGGTCATTTGGGAAAAATAGAGTATTATAAATTGAGCATTTTACCCTCATTATAGGCTCTAAAATCAACAATAGCTTAAATTGTATTCAATCATACCTTCTGTAACTTGTATTATGTGGACACCATGAACCCAAATAATTTTCATCTTAGTCACACACAACATTGACTATCATTTAAAAAACTATCAATTTGTACATAAGAAGTGTAATTAACACATAAAAAGAAGGAAACACTTTCTTTAAGAGATCTCCCATCCTTTTATAAAATGTTATTTAAATAAAACTAAGAAAATAAGATATTACTTTTTTTAGAGCTATCTGCTATAATATGTACAGATGTTCTTTCTCAATGTTAGTTTAGAAACTTTTCCAGCCTACGTGCATATATATATCATGGATTGATGCTACTGTTGAACAAGGAAGCATAAAAATAACTTCAAATCCCACCAACTATCTGCAAAAACATGGCCCTGTATTTAAGCTATTGAACAATAAATTGAGGTTTGATAATTGATTTAGGCAGTTCTGAATTGACCCAGAGATACACAATGCTAGAACGGAAGGTATCATTGAACAGCAATAATGCAACACGTGTGAACATAGGTATGGAAGTGGGAGATTTGTCATCTACAGACCATGACAAGATCTGGATGCCTACCAAAAATATGAATAAGACGGAAGCATTATTATATTGCAAATATATTTCCACAAAGTTATCCAGCTACATTTATTCTTGTACTCACATCTCTAAGTGTTTTCTATTTAAAAGCGCAATGACTAAAACAATCAGAATTAGGGCTTTTTAATAAAGTGCCTCTAGATCTAAAGATAAATTTTGGAACTCATCATAGTCTAAAAAATAAAATACGTATTCATTTTTTATTTCTTACAAGCTTATGAAAGGAAATACATTTATTGAAAATTTTAGCACTACTGTCAGAATCTGATTCCAAACTATGAACTGCACACATTCCTGCATTATTGCACTGTAAGGAACTGTAACAAGGCATATTTAGTTTAACACCAGTTTTCAAGAAATTGATATAATGAGGGTGAAATGGATCAGGAAATCTAAAGTCAACTTTCATAGGAAATTCTTTCAAGTATTACCAAGTTATGATTGTCAAAGACCATATCCAATTCCTTCCAAAATGCAATGTTTGAATGAGAAAAAGAAAGACAACCACAATAATTGCAATGGGAATTTACTACAGATGAACAAGGACAGAACATTCAATATGACACAATTTCACAATTTTGAAATGGATAGGTCTCTCTAAACTAGCGAAGGGCCCTTCAGAAACAGAAATAGGCACAGTTTACTTGTGACTTGATAGAAGTAGGCATGTGGTGCACTGTTACTACATTGCCAGCATGACTACAGAAAAAAGTCACAGAATTTTAACTTGAATCTTTGTTTTTTTGACTTGAGCAGTAAATGAAATAAATCCCTTTATTACTTTATATATCCATGTATCTCTGCCATAATGTAAAAATTTAATATTTGGAATTAAATAAAATTAAATCCAGGTCCACTGATTCAATTTTGAATATTGTGTCATTAAATTGACTGTCTGATTTTAGAAATTTTTTTCTTTGGAGACAAGAGACTGATATTCTAATAGACCTAGGTGACACTAAAACGTAGGCATGGAAAACTATTTGGAACAATTTGATTTTCCAATGATTCTGAATATCCTACTAGTAGATGACCTGCCATTATCATGCAACATAATGGGTCTTGGTGAGCTTCCTTGTCTGACTACACTAGCAAGAAACATTCAAAAATCATAGAAGGTTGAAGATAGTACAAGTAATTTATAAGACGATGAATTATTACTCAATGTTCTAACCAATTTAAGGAGGGTTGGGCTGAATTGGACCATTCCATTATAAGGCCAGTGGTTAACAGGGAATGGGATTTCCTTTGATAAGCAGGAAATATATAACTACTGACTTCCACAATTTCTCACTTTTTCTTATAATCTGGAGAGAAACATATTAATTCCATGTGGTCATCAAAGCTGTTTTTTAAAAACTGTGCCTTGATTTTGCTGTTAATTGGTCATGGCTGAGTTATTGGTGGCTGGCTGCTGGATATTTTATTGCAATGTAATTTTAGAACCTTGTTGAAATCGGGGAGGAAGAAGAGTGACCAATTATACACATTTGAATTGATCTTAATTTTTATATTTAATAAATTGCCAAAAACTTGACATGGAAATAAAATCAAAGCTCTGGGAATGAGGACAGGAGAGGCTCATTGGCATCCATGCCCAGTGCCTTACAAAGAGGGTCAAACTTTGAACATCATGATTGTCCTTAAATCAGTGTCCAAGGTGGAGTCAAAACTTATTCTTAGTAAGGGTTTTCAGTCATAAGACAAGCATGTCAGCAGAGCTGTAAACCTCAGAACTGGATAACATAATAGTCAATTCTTCTTCCCTTCCTGAGCCCATAAATTGTGCTCAGGATTTGATGGAACATGTTTGGCATTCTTCAGCTATGGCAATTCAGCTGATTTCTCTAGAAAAATCAGTCCACAGGCCTCAGAGACCCATTTACATAGCAATTTTCCTATGTACTGACCTCCTATCAAGTCACAAGGATCAAACCATGCATGGGACACATAGGTTTTGGGGATGCCTGAATTCTGGTCAAGGATATAAGGGTTAGAATCGATGAGACTGTAAGAGGATCAAGAGAACCTACTGGAAGCATGATCAACCCAAGGCCGCCACCACTGCTTTTTTTTGCCCTTGGCTTTCTGTTTTTCTGCTTCTCCTAAAATAAAATATGTCCAAATATTAATTCTTAAACAAATTTTGAAAACCACACTTTAACAATTCAATTGTCAAATCTAGACAAATTGCAAAAGTACAACCAGCAGAAAGGAAAAGGAAACTGAATTGAAGCCGAAAATGTACATGTACTAGCAAACATATTCATAAGGCATTTTTAAGTGTTTAAATAACATTATGCCACATTTTCACATCTTAGTAACTGAAGGCATATAAAGAAATATAAGAAATAAAGGATTATCAGTCCAAAATCCATCTCCATTGAATTTGCCGGTGACTTAACAGTAAAAAAGCATCTTCAAAATTTATAGAACAAGTTAGTGGCAAATAAGTTATTAAAATTCATGCATTCCAATAATCAGAAAAAAGTTCTTGTGATTATTTTAATGCATGTTTGAAAAATAACTAGTGATGAGCATATACTATGTGCTGGGGAAATGTCATGTTTTATTTCTCTTTTCCCTCCAAATAAAAAGCATGCAAACATCTAGAAAGACATTTTAGACTTAATTGGATATAACCAATTTATTATTAGATAAAAATTGATATATATATTATCTCAAGGTTCACTGGAATAGACAACTAAATGGTATTTAAACTGCTATATTCAGATGCCCTATAAAATATGCTTGTATATTTCATTTTTCATAAAATTAACAGAAATCAAATGCAGCAGTGGATTGTGCATCTGATATCTTTTGTTAAAGAGATAAATTAAGCAAAATCACACCCATTTTCTTCAGAAATATGTCAGTGAAACAGAAGTTGGATTAGTATTGATTAAAATTGTCTTCTTAAAGAATAGAAATATTAGTAAAGTTACATTCATGAAAATATACTTTATGAGACAAACAGAAAGAGTATCCCACTTGTAATGGGAAGGTAAAACATGCTAAGTTAAAAATAAATGCATTGGTAGCATTGGCAGAATGGAAAGTTATTTTATAGCCCTACCCATTAGCATGCTATTATTCAATGTCAAGGTACTTGAATAAGAGGGAAATGTCTTAACGTACTTTCATCTTCCTCTTCAGGGACTTTTTGGGGATCCTGGCCTTCCCCTGACTCCTGGGTCAAGCTTAGCATCCTCTCCTTACCCTTTTTGTATTTCTGTTGTCTGGCCTTGATGCGGTCCATCCTGTAAAGTAAAATAGCATCAATGCCAAGAACACATCATAGTTATATATGGTCAGTATTTTGGGTTTATATTTTTATGTATATAGCTAAAATCATTGATAACTTTGTCAGTATTTGAGAATTGTGAGTGGTCGCTTCCTAGCAACAAGTATCTCTTTGTTTTTAAAAATATGTCGATATAAATTTTCATTATATAGATGATCAGGAATAATTATGCTAAGTTTTGAAATGCAAGCTTTATATCCACTTATACATTATGCAATAGACATTCTGGGAACAGCATGTTACAAATATAAGTTCTTTCTTTTCCCATGTTTTATGTTCTTAAACAAGTAGAAAAATTTACTAAAGTGAATTATAGCCAACAAGCTTTTACTTGTGGGAAATTGGGAACACATTTTAAACATGGGTCCAGATTTTTCATTTCTCTAGACCTGCTTTAGGTAGCTAGAAGCAACAGTAAAATATTTATGCAATATTGCATTTATATAAGATGTATATACATGTATAACCTCTATCTTTGATTGTGAAACTAACCATGCATAGGATAACATAATTTATCCTAGCAAATATTTTTTGCATGGAGGAAAAAGGCTAGGAAAATATATCAAAATGGAATGAAATTATCCACAGCAGTCAGGGAAATTTCCTGGTGGGCTGATAGCATGTCTTCATTTTCTTAATGAAAGTGACTAGGTTCTGAAGTTTATGGCTAACTAATTTTAATCCTGGCCCCCCAACATGGAAGTATTATCAATCCTTTGAAGTTCCATTCACTGCTGGAAATTTCACTCTAAGAAAATTCTCTAGAGTGAAATAATTTTTAAAAATTGAGTTCTCAAATTCCCTGAAAGAAGTCAGTACTTTACTTGAGTTACCCTGTATATGCTAGAAAAGGTCTTAAACTGAATATAGAGCATTATTTAGAGTGCTGTTTATAGTTGTGTGTTTAAGTAAGAAATATACTTTGGGTCCCCTGTTTCTTCCTGAAGACTGGATTATATTATATCAGAAGATCCTTCCAAAGTGACAACTATAGATTTATTCTCTTAATTCACAGATGTAATGAACATTTATTCCATATGGCACCAGGTTAGACCAGGTCTATTTCATCAACTCACTTCAGTGTTAAAAGGATTGAGGAGAATGGTGAGTTCCAATTTAGAAAAGAGAAAACTGAAATCAGAATTTCAATAATTTCTTAACATTTCAAACTTGGATGTAATACCACTTGTACCCAAGGACCCTCCTCTTTTCCCCACAGTGCAGCTCTCTTCCTTGTAAAGCACTTTCACTTTCAGTCTAGCAAGCACAGACAACTGAGTGACACAAGAGTAGATGCAGAAGTTAACATGACCAGGAGTTGAGGCTCCCTAAGAGCTGGCTGAATGGGATGATACAAACTACAAACACAAGAAAAAAGGTAAGTAAAACCAAGCATACTTACTGCCTCTTCAGTTGGTCCATTGACTTTTTCTCTTCTTCAATTCTTGCTTTTACAGCCTTTACAATTGTGGCCTGGAAAAGTTCAGCCCCTCTGAAGGAAAATTGGAGACAGAACAAATTAGTGTTTCTATCATTACTCCCCTTTCTGAAAACAATGATAAAGGTTTAACAGACAAGTCATTTCTTTTTGGGCATTGCCTATATTGACTAGACTCTTCTGGCCAGGAGTGGGAATCACCAGCTTCCACCCTTCCTAGGAAACCTGCACAGTATCCCCTAGGCTTGGTTTTATCACCATCCCAGAACAGTAAAAAGAAAGTGATTTCCTGTCCTGATCACAAGAGACTATGGTGATGGTGCATGGGTGAATTGGTGGTGGGAATTTCATGAGGAAATCATACATTGCATGAAAATGAAGGGTGATGTAATGAATATATTCTTAGTATTTTTAATTTTTTAATAGCATTCTTTTCTAATTTTTTTCAAGATTTATTTATTTATGCATACAGAACTGGGAAACAAACCAGAGGTGCAGGGGTGGTGAGAGGCTTCACCAGAGATAGGTGGGGAGCAGAACAGGCAGATTGATGAAGTACACTGCTGAGGGGAGCAGCGGGTGGGTCAGGAGAGGTCTGCTGTGCCATGTGGGTCACCTCCAGGGTGGGTATCGAACTCATATTAAAGGCTAGCTTGCATTGCTGTGTGTCCTAACCCTTTGCGCCACCAGGGAGGGCCTAGATGTATTTTTAAAAATTAAAAAAAAAAAAAATTAAAGACCGTGCATTTCTTCAAACCTGTTCCAAATATCCTTATAACTTGTTCAGGTGGTACTCACCTGGTCTTATTACAGGGAACAACTGCAAGGAGAACTGGATTTAAATTGCTTTGCTGCTCTATAAGGAAGGGTGCTGGGGCTTCACAAAGTTGGTGTTGGAGTCCCCAGATGAGATTTTCAGTCTCTTGCCCTTTTATTTCTCCTCCTCCTACCTTCCACTCCAATTCTTTCATTTTTCTCACACTTCAAAACAACTTGAGTCCCTGTAGACTCTGTATATCTCATCCAACGCTCATCCACAACTCTGTCTCTTTGTCATTTGCTTGGTCACATATGCTTGGCAAATCGCAAGTCTATACTCAGTGGTGTGACCACCCTGGGTTTGGATGGGTGTCATCATCAGTGTAAAAAAATACCTGACTGGACAAGCTATCTGCTGAGTCCCTCCCCACACCCACTCTCCAGAATTTATTCTCTGTTACCAATCTTTCAAAATCCCTATATTTTTCTCAAGCCTACATTTTTTGTCCAAGGGATTTTCTTCCTAGTAAATGAATTACCTTCCTACTTAGCAGAGAGAATAGCCAGGGAGTAATAATTATCCAGTTGCCTGCCACCTACCCAAAGGATGCACATTCTGGGAGAGTGAAAGAAGAGATGCTCGCTTGCCTCTGGCTGCCTGTGCTCAGGTCCTTTCTGTCACCTGCAGCCAAGGGACTTCATTTCTCTATATTTCACTTTTTCCACCTGTTACTGAACCTTGCTCATAACCATGTAAACAAACGCACGTCTTGCTAATCTTAGAAAAAGAACCCATGTTCCAAACAGTTTTTTATTCATCTTTTATACCATAATTGTTCTGATGTTCTGAAACAGTCAAATATCTTGTAGACATTTTCCCCAAGCCTCATCAATCTCAGGTCACTGATGCTTGGTTCTGATCTCTACTTTTTGAGTTATTGATTCCACTGGTCAATCTTCAGTCTTGTCTTTATGTATCCTGCCCACTGTACTTCTACTGTGACATAGTCTCCTGTCCCAGGTGTCTAAGGCACTAGGTTCTCTTACTTTTCAATATTCCTTTCTAGCTCACAGTTCCAATCTTATTTGCAGCCTTCCTTTGTATCTCTCTCTCTCTATTTTTTTTTAAAGATTTATTTATTTATGAATATAAGCATTTGAGTATAGGGGAATGTGCAAGATGGCGGCAGAGTAAAGACATCAAAATCACTTTGTCCAAGCTCACACAGGAATATAAGACTAAAAACGGATTATAGACTTACATACTGTGAGTTTCAACCTAAATGAAAACACCCTGGACTCACTAGAAGGAAGATAACTGAGGGAGAATCAGCAATTGGGGAGTTCAGATAGGGGAGCGGAGCTGCTATCCAGGAGTGCCCCAGTGCCTAGGTGCTAGGGAGTGCCTCAGACAGGATAAGCAGAACCCTACAGCTCCGACTGGGAAAACGCCCAGGCTCTAGTGCCACAGACGGAGGATTCTGACTCATTCAGTTTGGTGAGTGGAATCCAAGATATGGAAAAGACTATACAAGTGGGCACATAGAGCCCAGGAGGTGGGGAGGAAGATCTGGTGACTAGAGCAGCTGCAAGGCTTGCAACCCTTTCACCCACCCTCAGAGCATAGGCCTGGAGGATTGTTCCAGCCTTTAGTCACTAAGGCAGGGCCAACAAGTTCACAAAGTCCCTGAGGTAAAAGGGGAAAAAAAAGCAACAACAGGCCCTCCCTGGTGGCGCAGCGGGTTAAAGCACAGCACTGAGAATCTAAAGCTGCTTCCACATGAGTTCGATCCGCCTGCCCCGGAGGTGACCACATGGCGTGGCAGACCTCTCCTGACCCGCCCACTGCTCCCCTCAGCAGTGTACTTTATCGATCTGCCTGTTCTGTTCCCCACTCTGTCTCTGGTGAAGCCTCTC